CATTACCCCAACACCTGAGCCTATAAATACCCCAACACCTGAGCCTATAAATACCCAACACCTGAGCCTACAAATACCCCAACACCTGAGCCTATAAATACCCAACACCTGAGCCTACAAATACCCCAACACCTGAGCCTACATTACCCCCAACACCTGAGCCTACCAGTACCCCAACACCTGAGCCTACAAATTTTAAGGGGATACAGACATTTTCCTCATCAAAACGACCCCCGTCATTTTCAACTACACACAAGGACCTAGCAATGTGGATATAAAATGTGTGTCCGTCAGCACAATGAGATCAACACGCTCTATCTTTCATAACGTAGTGGATGTGCCCGATAATGCATGGAAATACAAACAAGGTGAGATTTATTACATGCATGCAGTGGATTTATATATCATTAACGTTGGGCTGCAAAATTTAATTAACTTTCGACTGTTAAAGACAGTAAAAAAAACAATATTACCAATAAATACAAATTTATAAATAGTGAATAATGAAATGTAATACTGGTTTTAAAAAGGAGTCTTTAAAATCTAATTATATATCTTCTTTATTCCAAAACACATATTTAAATTTGTCACAGATAAAATACAATGTATTTTCTTTTGTTCCGGGATTGTCTTGTATACATAAAGAACAAAATGAAAGTATCGAATATGGATTTTTGAAATAACTATATTAACGTAACAAGAGTTGGCAATGAAAAACAGTTTTCTTCAAAATACATGTGAGTGTAAAAGTTAGGAATGGACAATATCCGATTGCCGTGGAGATTCTAATTACTAAAACATGCATAAAAACGCCATTTTGTTTACATCTGTTGATTTCTGAAGTCATTTCGATATTATTTTTTATAATGTGTTTATATAATATATCATTTCGTGCCATTTTCTTTGTTTTTACTTGATTTCAATGTTATTCGAGATACTGAATGTTTACAAATTCTAAACAAAATATTTTAATTCAGAAATTTTATTTTAAAGTAAAAAGAAAAACTATATCAGTGTACGATGCATGTTTCAAATAAAATGTCTTGATATCTACGATTGTTTGTTTCATATTTTCTACAATTAAAGGTCAAAGTTCAGCAAAGGATAACAAGAAAAGTCCTGATAGCTTTAGATATCAGAATTATATTTACCAATGACGTAAATCAATTTTCGTTCGAAGATTCATGCCCAGGACATTCAGTGTGTTATTTTTCCTCTTCTTTTTGATTGTCACTAATTCAATGAAGGAAGACGATCCATTACTTATATTATAAATTGTTGAAAGTGTTGTTATGCTGTTAATATTATGGTACGAGACATATAATAAACATTTTCTGGAGACCTTTTTACTTGTTTTATCGCCCCATGACAAAACCAAGGTCATATTGAGGCGGATTGTCCATGTGTCATCTGGTGGCTACCTCACTGAACAACATATGGGAGTCCAGGCACCTGCCATCCAGGGCAATTACTTCGCCATTAAGGCAGTTGCTGTTTACAGAGAAACATAAGTCGTGGCTAGGTATGTCGAATTACAATGCACTATGGATTGATTAAACCCGTCCCCTTCTGTTTCAAAACCATCAGTTAATCTAAGATAAATATAAAAATACATCATAAAATAAAAAAAAAAAAACATATAGGTCATGTTGATTTCATTTTAATAGGACCAATAGGAAGATATCACAAATGAAATATATTTCTGACTAAACACCAATATCATGGTTTATACCCGTACGTTTAGGATGATAAACCAAACATTATTCATTGTAAAAAGATCTTCAATGTTATTACTGCGTTATTTGTTGTGAAAGTTATCTTCTTTCTAAAAGGACCCGTTTAGATAACTCCTGATATGTAAGCTTATGTGAAAAACGATAATGGCATGTGTGTGTATTCTTGGATTAATGACACAATGCTTGAAATGTATTTTATGGAAGCATCTCCAATACTGTACATTAATCAGGCTTACATGTTCATTCACTGGTAACTATTTGCACTTTTTTAAAGGGAAAAAAGGAATATGTAAACTTTTGTGAAAGTTTGTAATATTTAGCCATACCAAATTAGATATATGATAAAGAATTCTGCATTCAGAGTTACATTTTTTTCTTCTTGTAAACTGTGTCAGAAGGCATACTTGACTGGCTGAATACCTTAAGAATAAAATCACAAGTTACAAAGTTTCAAAATAATGTAAACATATCATACAAGCCTGTAGGATTTATTACAAGGGAGGGGAACACAAATTTTAACGACTGTATGTATAATCGCTGTCGACATGATAATTCTGTTTACTCACAGCTCTAAATCATGTGAATACGTGATAAATAAACCAATAAAGATTTCAACACAGGACAGTGGAGCCCCAGGTTTTGATAAAGAGGCCATTTATATCTGTGTGTTTGAGAATGCCCATGGCCTGTAATGTTAAGTGATAATTTTGTTAAATCGGTGGAGCATGGTGCGAGAACTTCAGCAAAAGGAACTCATTTGACGATTATCGACATTCAAAAAGTGGTGAAACCTCGTTTGAACTTTATCATTTGTTAATATTCACTAGTTTTAGATGTGAGACACGATCCGCTTCGTTTTATATTCAGAATAGGTGAGTACTACTTAAGATTCATCCTGCAAACCCAGTACCTTCGTGTTGAATTTTAATTAATTTTAACCGTATCACAGCTTACATACAGTTTGCATATGTACTTGATTCCTTTTGAAATTTTGAAAACTACTTCATTTTGAAGCCAGCTAGCTTATCATGTTTTTGCGCATTCATTTGACAATTTTCTTTGCATTTCTTTTAGGTCAAAAAAAAAGTAAAATATCTGTGCGGTTCAGTTTAATTCATTATCCAGTTCTATTTTTCTTAATCTAACTTTTGTATTTAAAGGAGCCCTGGACGAAATTATCGAAGTCTGTCTTTTCTTATTGAACGGGGGTAACATTAATAGGAGATCTCATCAAAGCCTTTGTTTCTATACCTAATCTAAAACGGATTCTGAGGCCTAGTGATCGCTAGATACCGACAACTTATTGAATACATGACTTTTGGTAATCTTATCTGTTTTTCTGGTATATTCAATTACCTCGTGAGGTCTAAAAATTCGACTGTATGACGCGCAATGGTTTCGTTATCAGTTTCCCAATTAAATTTTAAACAACAAAGAATAAAACAACATGTGAAATGCATCCTAATCCATACTGAAATACATTAAGACTAATGCAAAATATGAAAAGAAACAAGAAAACACTATAGATCAAATTGAGAAATGATAGAACAGAACAAGATACACAGATTGGAACATGATAACATAATAGTACTACATTGCTTATTCATTAAAGTCATCATTGAGGGTAGGACAGAGGAATTTCTACCCGAGGAGGAGATTGATATGTCAGATAGATATTTCTCTGTCCTTACCTCATACTAGGGACTTATCCTCTGCTGCACCCACCTGCTATGTAAATCAATTTGAAGTAAGTAGTGTTACATTCCCAACTGAGAGCAACACTTGTACCAACAGGCAAACTAACGAGCATTAAGCAAGTCTTACGTCAGTGAGATCATCACGACGACCTTAAACGTCCCCGTCATTTTATATCAACCTCCATGTGCCTGTATCAAGCTTGTACATATACGAGGACTGTAGTCGATGAAGCAGCTATCTCTGAAATACCCTGTATTCTCCTTGTTTATATCTTATTTCTCCAGTAATTGTCTCGTTTGCATGTTGTAATTTTCTTGTCAAGGAAACAGAAGACGCATAATATTCTGAAACACCAGGTCATATAATCCCTGCTTTTATCAGACATCCTTACATACATTTTTTCACTTAGATTTCATCTATCCTCTCTTTTTTGCAGAATCATAGCCATCCTTTACGCATGCGCAAGTCACACTTAGGATGGATTACTTAGAGCATATCAATATAAAAAATATAGATAAAATGACGTGAAAAAATGTAGACTGTACGAGGAGAGAATATTTAGTTCAAAGCTACGTATTTAATTTCAGTTCGAGAAATATATAAAGATCATGTATATATATATATATATATATATATATATATATATATAATGATACACTATTTAATACAAGATCAAGCTGATAAAATAAAATCTAACTACATAACAGATCTGTTCGAGATAAAGGATCGAAGTGAGATCGTAGAACAAACGAGAAAACAGATTAGATTGAAATAACAGATCGATGTGACATAGCAGAACTAAACGAGAAAACAGACCAGATCGAGATAATAGAGCGATGTAAGATATCATAACTAAACCGGAAAACACTACAGACGAGTTATTGATAACAAATCCATGTGAGATAGCCGAACTAAACAAGAAAACACTATAGATCAAATTGAGAAATGATAGAACAGAACAAGATACACAGATTGGAACATGATAATATAATAGTACTACATTGCTTATTCATTAAAGTCATCATTGAGGGTAGGACAGAGGAATTTCTACCCGAGGAGGAGATTGATATGTCAGATAGATATTTCTCTGTCCTTACCTCATACTAGGGACTTATCCTTTTTCTAACTCTTATCACCAACATTCCACAAATAGAATCACAGAACAAATATATGTTAGCAAAATATGGAAACAGAATGTACATAAAGACTTATGTTTGTACTTTTACTAATTTGTAATCTACATCATACATGCTAAAAAACAATCATAATGATATATATCATTGACCTAATTTATCTTAAATAGATTTGTATACAAAGATAATTATACACAGTCTTACAATAATATTAAACTTATCTTAAACTGTCAACATCAATCAGTCTCTCACGTCCCAAAATCACAATTTAAGTGTTAGTACATGTTAATGTTCTCTGTGTACAGTCTATCTTACCTTGGAAAAACAGATATATCTTACTCTCACTGGAAGTGAGGATATTTCTGTCCGACGGGATAGAAAACTTTATCACGAATACAAGAACATGTTTTAATTGCAGTGAGGAATAACTGACATGAAACTTCATCAAATTGCATTGTGTTTGTTGTGGATCAAAGCCTCTAGAGGCGCAGGTATGGCAAATAATGTAAAAAATAAAGGTTCCTGGCCCCACTTGTATAAATCATCTCAACTTGAGATTTCCTCAAGTCGAGATTTTCCTCAGCTGATATCTCCTTAAAAATATCTTGTATGAAAATTCCTCAAGGAATTTCAGGACATCCTAGCCGATGCCTTCCTCCTGTTCCTTGAGAAAATTTTATACAAGCCGTTTTTGAGGAGATATCAGCTGAGGAAAATCTCGACTTGAGGAAATCTCAAGTTGAGATGTTTTATACAAGTGGGGCCAGATACCTAATATTCCAGATGTAAAACTTAATGCTGATCTGCAAATGTTATACAATCCTACAATTTTGCATACTATATATTTGTTTTATAATGAAACTCGTGATATAATTCTGATTGGATGGAAAAAATAATGAAAATAATGATAAAAATACATACATAAATGAAAAAAAATGTAAATAAACTAATGAATTAATATTCATTATCCGAGCAAGAATTCTGTTAAGAAATTAACATTTCTAAAATGATAGATCAGAACAATTTTTTTAAGTGATCAGCGTATTTTTTTTTTCAAAATACTATAAATATACGTAATGAAACGTTTTTGTGCACAATTATATATTTTTAGAGTGTCCAACCGATGAGATTAGCTTTCTAAGGGAATTTGAAGACCCATTGTATGAAGAAGGACAAAGTGTATCGCTGTTCTGTCACTTTTTTGTGTCTGCCGATTGTGGACCAATCAAATGGGACTTTACATCAGGACGAGAAATATCTATCATCGTTCCATCATCGAGATTTCAAATACATGACGTCACCAACGAAACAGGACTATATTCAACGCTTACGATAAATCCAATAACCGTGCGAGATGAGAGTATGGCAATAACGTTAATTAGAATATAAATTTTCTTCTCTTTTCTCATCAGTGATATTTATTATGTTAGTAAAAGTGTCCTCTGACGTCACAATGTATTAATAAAACAGAATACATAACAGAATATTCTGAAGTCATTATCGCAGGATATTGTTGATTCATCGTATATTGAATAAAAACAATATTTTTTTTACAACCATTTCAGATTCTATCGCTTGCCGCGTTCGAGGAATGACAATACTTTATTCCATCCATATTATACCACTTCCAAAGGTAGTGATCTCCCCTTTATTTAAGGCTGTAGAAAAAGGAAGTGACGCCATCATTGTTTGTAACATCACAAATGAACATCTTCGGCTCTTCAATGATACATTCAAGTGGTGTCATGGCTCCGATGAAATTCAAAGTAAATATATACATAAATGAATAATTTAACATTATATTCTTCGATTAAAATACTTCATAACAGAAGTAAAATTGCAGTGGGTTGATGTCAAGATAACCGATCAAAATATATTAAAGAAAGAAAGAAAGAAAGAAAGAAAGAAAGGGAAAATATTTCAAAAAAAAAAAAAAAAAAAGAAAGAAAAAGACTGGAAGTATAGTTTGATGTCTTTTTCAACGCGATATTTGTCGTAGGGTGATCATTCAGGAACAGTAAGTTAGTTTAGAACTCTCATTTTCCCGAGTTTGAAAAATACACATATAAAGAAATCAAGATCCTTCCTATCACATTGTCATTTATTTTTACAGACATTGCACAAATTGTTTTATGTCAAACTTGCAATCACCCTGGCTCTATAACTCCAATAGTGGCATCAAATCACCTTTTCAGATACGAGTCATATTGATGTTAAGGGTGTATCTACCCTTAACTTAACTAGGGTGACTTTAAGGGACAGTGGACGATACGGATGTGGTGCACGAGGCTATGATGACGCATGTGCAAACATGAAACACGTCAGCAGGTTAGAGGTATATAGAACAAAAGGTAAGCCTAGAAAGTTGAAATGAACGTTTCTTTTTTTGTCCCTTATTGATTTCAGTTCAGCTTTCTGTCGTTCTTTCGCTTATTATTGGGGGAAAATGTGCCCAGGATTCTTAATTTTTTAATGAAGGATCTTCATTCAATACGACGTTTTATAGAAAAAGTCGTTTTTTATGCATGCATGCCTTGACAAGAAAAATTGTAATAGAAGTTTTAGACAAATTTCATAAACTCTGAAGTTATTCGGTTATTTCTTTATTACATAACACGAAAAATTAAATTTTGACATGTTTTAGAATCAAAATGTGAAGATAATATAAACAAAGGGAATCATTTTTAATGTAATTTTTTCTAAAAATTGATATACAAAAACATAAAACAAATGAGAAAAAGACTAAGGTTTATCGACGTTGGTATGGATGAATGAATCATTAGTTTGGTCACAAGCTAATCAATACATAATGTATACACCATGTCTAAATAAGAAATATATGCCAAGAATTCATATATCTTTTTTTAGGTACAACCTTTTGTATAGAAGAATTTGATAACAGAACGGGACTTACTTGGGTTAAAACACCTGCAGGAACTTTAGTAATGCAGCCGTGCAGGTCCAACTTCACAGGTATAATTACATAATCATTAGCTAAATAAACGTTGTTTATAACAATTGTAGAGAAACAAGTATTCGATGACACAACAAATCTCAATCCACTGATACAAAACATGACCGCAAACAAGAATGATGTGTATAATAATTCCCACAAGATAATTTTCAGATACGTTAACTACAGGTCCCGTATAGGTGACTATGTATCCTTAGAAATACAATGTCCGCGTGATTAAATCACATAGAAGTAGGCCAAATATTCCGATGACTGAGATCCTTCAATTAATGTAAAGGAAAATAGTACGGGTTAATTATAACGAAAATGTGTCAATCTCACTTTTATTAAAGTAGGCCACAGCACGCAGCTACAGACTGTAAACTTAAAACGTGCAACCAGACATATGAGGATTCCTTTCGTGGATATATTTAGAAAATAATATCTTGAGTCAATGATTTTGCATGAATTGTTCAGAAAGAACAGCAATGCGGTTTGTAGTACGGGTAGTTTTTCTAATATGTCTTCATCATCTCTTACATTAGCTTTTGTTAAGAACTGCGAAACTTCGTTACATATTTTTTCATCGTGATATTTCAAGACGTCACTCAGTATGCCAAGAGTCACGAAAAGCAAATTGATCGACTTAGTTCAAGAAAGAGCTCAACTTCATAAAATTATTAGTAGAATGTAAATCGTCTTTCTGTTTGCTTTGTTTGATTTTGCTTAAAGGTATTACAGAACGTCTGTGCGAAGACAATGGTGTTTGGGGAATCGTCATCGAAATAGACTGTGTTAGACAGGAGATTCAGTCAGCGCTAGAAGATGTAAGAAACATCCGCTAGAACGTAACAATAAGAAATATAATGTATAGAAAAACAAAGTACACTGATTTCAACTCTTCGATAGAATAGCCATCTCACCAGGGAAAGCATTTTTGACTGATCTTAATTAAGCTATTATTATTTGAACCAATGATTCAAATGTCGCTTTCAAAATAATTCTTGACAGATGATCAAGAAAACACTTTTTAAAAGCTTATTAGCATGACAGATAACAAATATCCATCATAACAAAGGCTTGACCTTTTTGATATTTGAGAAATATCTTACAGTGTAAGTGACGCCAGTTATATAGATTATACAAACGAATGACAGATGAATATCACTTTGGAGTTAGTCACAAAGGTGTTTCATCCTTCAGTGATGCTAGATGCTTAAGTTGCTGGCACTACGACGGCAAATGAGGTAGAAATAAAACTAGATTGGGAAATTTCATGATTGACGATATTCAAATAAATTCCAATATGATATATACATCATTCAAATTGCGATATAGACATCTTTCCAGGTATATGAGTTAGCTATCATAAATCATAAATCGCAAAGGTTTATCAAACGGACATAGTGAGATTGAGCAAAGGAGTCCATGTAGTTAAAGCGTACACGCCCATATGAAAATCGTGAAGTCACACATTAAATTACAGGGGATTCCCCTCTCACATTTCCTTATACACGCTAGGACACTAAAGACTTTATTTAAATACTCTTTCTCATATTGTGTGCTATAATATTCCATTTTAACATGCCTTCTCCACTTCTGAATAATTTTGATGTTCTTTTCTTACTGAAAAATTGATTTTGAAAATCCATTTATTTACTTTTTGGACAATTACGTTTTTATTTCAATTTATTTTTCTCTAGATCCTTCACCTGGAGAGTACACCTGGGAATACAGAATCAGTCATAAATACTGTTATATCAAGTATATCGGCTGTTACAGCAAATTCAGAAAGTTTGACCTCAGGTGACCTCAACTCCACAACAACAATCTTAGAAAGAGTCGTCAGTATCATGAGCAATACTGCTGACAACGTTATCGTAAACGAACAGGTAACGGAATGAAAAACATTCTCACCCTTGTATAATACAGAAAATAGTTGTTGTTGATAACTGTTGACGTTTCGGCTCATTTTTAAATCGTTAGGTGTTTCATATTCAACAACTGTGTCTTACCTTCCTCAGATGATGGACGAACGAACTACTCCAGTCGTAACTTGACAATCTCAGCGCGTGCGATATCAATCACATTGAGTTATCTGTTGAAACTCCAAAATATCAACACTAAAATCATTTTCAAAAAAAAAATTGTACATGAAAAAATGTGACGATTTCCTCACTAAAACATTGCGCTAAAATCACTTAAACTGCCACGGTAAGAATGTCGATTGGTTGTAATATGGGTAGGAAGGATGAAGTGTGAATTCTCTTCTTCTTTGTCTGTTCTATTGCTTGTTTGATGTCAGTTTGGTAGGAGAAAATATCAAATTAAATTTATATAATAAACTTTCTTGTATAAGTGTTTCTAGAAGTATCGACTTATCGAAAAGTGTTTTATAATGTATTGGTATTGATAAATATTGTGACCTGTCGATTCATTAACAACACAAGATCTGAGTGTAGTCATTCATCGTGGAGTACATACATTCATTTTCCATATTCATGTTTTGTCATTTTTCGCCATTTCTTCATTGCATTACAATCAATGCTAATCATTTTCTTATTTGTAATAGCAGAATGGTGTCACTTTGATTTAATTGCAGGTCTTTGTTGGTATCATCAATGACATGCTTGCACCAGATTACCAGGTTACTTGGAGCGAAGTCAACGATAAGGTAACTACACAACGGATACCATTATAGGAAAGTTGTATAGTCAACATCAGGATCTTTGACGGAATGTTCTATCTATGTGCAATATTAAGTTGAAACTGTCTGGTACTTGTTAGTGTGACTGATGGTTCTGTTGTTCTTAACCTTGTTAACATAACTTACTTGACAAAGATTTACATGTTGGGTGTCGTTGATGAAGCAGAAGACACATGTTCTACCGGATTACATGGCTTATTTGCTTTGCACATTTTCCATAAGTCTCCATGTAAATCTTTCCTTTGTTCATATTTTGTCCGTGTAATCGAATTTAACTTTCATTCATGATTCTGGAGAAATTTCAGTATTTTCTTTGTTGTTTTTGTATTTCGCCAGGTAAATAAAAGAAATGCACAACTCAAGCAAAAACGGACAAAACGGAAATGTTAAGGGAAAAAAACAAAATAAAAACTGATGAAATGAGGGGGAAACAGGAACAATAGAAATACTCACGAAGATATTTTTTCGAAAAAATAGCGTCAGTGATTTCAACGTTTGACTTATAAAATAAGTTTTTAAAACAGTATCCTGTTAGTTCAATTCATGGCTATAAACATTTATTTCTATTGCTAGAGTTCTGACGCAGTTGCCGGTAACCTAATGAAAATAATTGAAAATTTTGGATGCATTGTTACACGAAATCTTCCAACAGGCAATCTGATTATTCTGAACAGAAGTAATATCAGTAAGTAATAGATACAATGTATTACAATTTTCTTATCTTGTCACATTTTTTATTTATTTATTTATCTTTATTCATTTATTCATTCAATTATATATTTATATGTTTATTCATTCATTCAATTAATTATTTACTTACCATTTTTATTTGTTCTTATTTTTAAAATGCAGGAATTTTATATATGTTTTTAACTAAATATGGTGAATAAAAACTAAACTATAGACATTCCATAAGACAATGAGGTGCAAATTTTGATTGTGGATATTTTTAGGAAGTTACTTCTCATGTACGTTTCTTATTTTAGGTGAAAACAATATTTCTCCCCAAAATAAGAAATTATAAGAATGAATTATTGATTAAGTGAATCTCCGTATCTTGATTTTGTTTTATTATTCTTTATTGAAAAATAATAAAGCGTTAAATCATCAAAATGTTATATAGCACTGGTATTATGCACGTCAAATGTTTTCCTCTCCTTGTTCTATACTTGTAGATGTGGAATTCAGAAAAATCGATGCAACAGTCCGTATGATTAATTTTTATCCCGAGCAGACATTAACTGGCTCGGATGTTGGTATTTCTCTGAACCTGGACTCCGAATCTGCAAGTATGTATTGCCAAATACCGTGTACTGAGAAACATTTGTTAAGGTCATCTATCGAATTCGCAGACGACTCTTCATTTTCGCCCAGTCTCAACTTCGCGCCTGAAAAACAACAAGAATATATTATGCTTGAGTTTCATCGTAAAATTTAAACTGTTGGAACTTTTTATTTTTCTCCGTAACGACACAGAGGTAGAGGTACCCGGGAAAAAATGTTAAAGCTGAGGAAAATTTATTCTGAATATCACAATTCACCATTAGATTTGGCTTTTTTGCTATACATTTTATATAAAGCAGTATCATAAAGACACTTTTCTCATTTCCATATACATCTTGTATTTAGATAAAAACTTATATGCTTTTTCTGTTTGGTTGATCAGCAGTAACAGTTCAACATTACTTGATATTATCATTTGACATACAAAGTATCATGACTTATTAGTCAGTAAATCTTATTATCTTTATTTTAGGTGATATTACGTACACAGCCGCATTTTACAGAACGATTTCAGGATTCCTTCCTCGGAGTAGCAGGTATATATTTCTTATATAAAGATGACGATCTCTAAAGAATCATGCTGCTCTTACAAGCATTACATTAGGTTACTAACTTCAAATTAGCAAAATGATTAACGATAATCGATACTATTCTAGATGTTTCTTACATAAACAATTATGTTCAAAGGTACGGACTCCATATCAATTATGAAAAAAAACTTCATAAGTGCTATTCAGATTGAAAATTATTCACAATTGAAAATTGATGTATTTCCAGTAAAAGTTCTATGTTGCAATAAGTATTTTTTTCAACAGAAACACAACTTTTTACTATATTGCCAACGTTTTTCTCCAATGAAACCCTGAACTAAAATAATAAAGATTTAAGTATTTGTGGGGTGAATTTTTAGTAACCGTGGTGTACCGGAGTATTCATCCGAAGTTATCTCCCTTTCAATTGGATCTGGAATGACTACCAACCATCTGTCTACGCCTGTTGTTTTGAACTTTGACACAGAAAAGTTGATACGAAAGGTATTTGTCTCCTAAAGAAATTGAAACAATTTCATGTCTTTTCGCACTTAAACCGTTTCTTTGAAATGTTATCGAGCTGATTACTTTTTTTCATGAAGTTATAAAAATAATTTGTGTTTTTGGAAATTTATCAATTTATTATTTGTAAAAGGTGACAATGTATTAAAAGGATAATGCTTCAAATAAAATGCGCCTACAGTAATGCACGATCGAGCTATTTCCATGACAAGTTAACCGTTGCTTGCTCGTACAAGTCGAGTAAAATTTCCATGTTCTAAATATTTCCATCCATAACATCGCTCAAAATTGTTGATTAAATATTTTCATTTCTATTTTTTCTGTATGTTTGGCTATTAAGGTCATATCGAGTTACAACAATACTAAACAATAAGAAACTGTCATACGATTGAAAGGGAGTTTTCAATTGTGGAGTTAATCTGCTTCAAAACTGTTAAAATCTAGGGTACTTGTATTTCGTTAGTTGGATTCTTTCTTTTTTTTAAACTTTCATTAAAATAGGATTTCGAATTTGTTCTCATGATTTGTGTAAGACTACCTTAAGATTTTTCAGTGAATGCTGTATTGTTTAAATAATGTTTAACATTGTCTTCCAGAATAACCTGACTGGTGAGCTGAATACAAAATGCGTATTTTGGGATTTTGGAGCAAAAAAGTTTGTATTTTCTGTATATCATGTAAATAGCATGCTTTGTTTGTACAATTATCAAGTGTGAATATGTCGTTGTTAGTATATATATTGTCTGCAACGTCTCATGCATGAAAATATTGAAAAATGTATGCATGAGTACTTTGATTTTAATAACAGTATGTGGTGCAAATATAAGTTTACTACTTCATTATTTATTTCAGTGCATTCAAGTAAAAATTCAAGTGTAATGTTTATGGAAACTAAATAAGAAATTAGTGTTGGCAAACTATTAACGCTATTGTTAAACAGCAGAATTCAATTTACTTAATGATACTCTAAAATTCCGCTAGCTATATTTTAACTAAAACTGAATTACTATGAAATGAGCTACTTACTCATGTGTTTTTTTTAAAAACAGGTTAACGAGACAGTTAGCAGAAAACGGCACATATTTCTATGAAAATATGTTTTGTAATTCTCCACGCACTTTCTTAGTCATACCCTGTAATAAAACACAATTTACAAACGACAGACATTATCAATAAAGAGCACTACCTGCTGTAAATAGATTCTTTAGTGCAAATTACTAACACTAACTTACTAATTAATACTTACTAACTAAATTACTAACTTACAGGTCTCCAGGCTGGTCAAGTAAAGGCTGTCGACGAGTAAACGATTCATGTCATTGTGAGCATCTGACCAATTTCGCCGTACTGATGAGTCCCATACAAATTCTGGTAAGTGGTGCCAATGGATGTTGAAAAGATCTAAAATTCCCAAGTAAAATAAATAGGAACGAAATTACAAGAAGAGTCGAAACCCCAATGAAAGAAAAGAAACCACGAATCAAGAAACATTTTGATTTGTTTTTTGTTCTATTTATAGGATGAACTGACATTGATAAACCTTAAGATGATCACTATAGTTGGCTGCAGTATATCGGTGGCGGGGACGGTGCTTACCATGTTAACCTACCTAGTATTATGGAGGTATGCAGTAAACATCAAATCTCGTTTTCACCGAGAAGGTGTCAATGACAAACATATCGTAATTATTTTAATTAATATTTTTAAAAATCATAAGTGTCCACATTTACAATGCTCCTTTATCAATATTAAGTATTATCGAGAAGTGAATTAAGCACAGATAACTAAGGTTACACAAATGTGAGGAGAAGGGCATGAATGACGTTCAGCAAACAAACATAAAGCTAAGTATCCGTTGTTTCTGTTCCCTCTTATTATCACTCTCTGCTTCGATCTAACAAAACATTTAAATTTCCATGACATTTTTGTTATAAATTGAATCGTAATATGATGCACAAGTGCCGCCTTTTATATTTACAGGCATGTGAAGAATGACCAAACTCGTCTGCTGATGAACCTCTGTGTAGCGTTGACAGTGTCCTATGTATTGTTTCTTACAGGGATAGACAAAACTGAAAATGATGTATGTATGTTCACACGTTCACTTATTGCCGATTTTTTTTCTCTTTATATGGAATCTTATTTGCAAAGTATGGCATTTCCACGTAATACCACTCATAGTGTGCCTTGCTGGTTTTAAATGAGACAAAAATATGTAAGTAATTCGAATTCAAACCATTTGTCCGTGAAATGGATGAAGCGAATTCGTCCTGATAAACAAGATTCCTTTAGATGCAAAATAGTTCGTACTAAAAATGTTCTAAAGTAGACACAAAGCAAAGTCTCCAGACTAACAGGGTTCTACTTTTCACACACATAAACGTTTTGAGACATACAATTTTCTCTGGATCAAAAGTGTCGAGAGTAGCAAGGTTCTACCATACACACAATCCAGATTATCAGCTATCAAGAACCAATTTTACATGTCCAAACTAACAGGCTTTACTTCGCACATGAATAGGAATTGTAATTCTATATGAATTCTTCTTCCCCTCAACAGGCTGTGTGTACCACGATAGCAGTAATGCTGCACTACTTCTTCCTTGCGACGTTTTGTCTTATGTTGGCAGAAGGCGGTGTTCTTCTGATGTCTGTGACGATAGTATTTTACTCCAAGTCAAAACTCAAATGGCTCCTTGCATTCGGCTGGGGTGGGTATAGATCCATGTTTAAATTCGAGTGTGTTGATTACATATCATATGTGTAATTTGTGAAGTTGCTTATTTCTCAGTTTCCATTCAATTATAAAGTGTTTGTCTCGTTTTAAAAATGTTTGAAAAATAATACATTCTTTAATTTATTTAATGAAGACCACCATTAAAATTAGCACTTTCCGTGATTTGTTCATGATAATCGTCTGAAAATAAGTTATGTCATCATTTTCCATCAAATGATTTCAATTTCGACAATCATCACAGGTACCCCAGCTTTAGTGGTTGGAATCACAGCAGGGATAACAAGAGCCCAGAAATACCATTCTCAGTACCAGTTAGTAAGGATATCTCATATGCGTATATATTCCATATTATCAATTATAAAAAAAAATATAGTCAAACATAAAAAATTTATGTATAAAAGTTTATAAAAACTTTTGATCCGTATCAGTGCAATGTTTTAATTTTGGTATGTCACTGAATTGTTTATTTTAATTCCTTTTCCCATTTTCCGATCTCAAATAATTTCATTTAAATCAGGTTAAAGTAAATTAGTAATGAATTTTAATTTCAGTTGTTGGTTGAATATTTCAAATGGTGTTCTTTATTCATTTGTGGGTCCAGTGATTGCAATAATACTGGTAAGTATTGTTTTTGTTTGTTTGTTTGTATATTAGTTTGTTTTAAACAGCAAAAACAGTAAAATGGTGTTGATATTAAATATACTGAAAGAACAATCTATGGTAGACCGCAGCAGTATTTTACTGCTTCTCTTTCAATGATCTAATAAATGAGTGATGAAAACATATTACCAACACCATAGTAATAACAAAATCTGAAAATAATTGAAGTAAACCGAAAAGACATGAAATAAAAGGGAAAACATCATAAAATGTCGTTCAACATCCTGAAGTATTCTGCCTGAGGTCGATTATAGCACAATTAGTACTAGGATGGTGAATGTGTATTTTGACGCTCCCTTCCCGTTGCGTTTTGTTTTGAAGATTAGAAATGACTGGCCATTTTCCGTTCTCATTTTGTCCTAGGCATCGAGTCAGTTGTTAAATGAGGCAGCTACTATAAAGCGACCCCCACCCCTTAAATTGATCCTGGGACTATAAAGTCAGACATGTTAATATCGATCGTAATTGTACCTTATTTTTTCCTTGAATTTGTTCTCTTCTAGATGAATATTGCTGTTATTGTTCGTGTGCAAAGGGCTATCTATTCGTCACATTTTATTGTTACGAAAACACGCAGACAAAAAATCATGTGAGTACTGTAGTGTAGTTTTCTAACAGAAAATTAATTTTAAAATATTAACAAAAAAAAAACAAAAAAACAAAAAACAAAACAAAACCCAACTTTTAGGTGAAAAATCACGATAGAGCGATTTAAACTAAATATGAATCTTTTTTTGTTGACAAGACGAAATATTTCTTGAGAAAAATATTACAGTAAAACATCATATTTCGTTTGTAATTAATATGTAACTAATCTTTCACCTTTTATAAGGACTGGCGTGCGGAGCATATCAATATTACTTCCGGTTTTGGGGGTCACATGGCTGTTTGGAATACTTGCAGTGAATGCCGATTTTGTTGTGTTCCAGTACATCTTCGCAATAGCTAACTCCTTACAGGTAATGTACAAAAACATACATTTTACTTGTAGAGTTTCTGAGTTTTCTTATCAATCAATTCAACTCTTTCATCAAAGAGTAAAATATTGCAGACGAATTCATTTGTTCAGAATATTAGTAGAAAATAACTATAAGGAAATTTATACATGTATGATTCAGAAATTAATCTAAAAAAAAAAACCCTTTTCGCCAATAATTATTATCATCAAGAAACAGTTTAGATTAAGTAATTCTTATTTTCGTTCGAGATCCAAGAATTATTTCAAACAATACTTGTGGATATTATTTTAATTGGAAATATTTTTTGGTTCTTTGCAGGGCTTCTTTATATTCTTGTGTTATTGTGTATTTAGCGTACCGGTAAGTGATAGACATTTTTTATTTTCTGTTTTCGATCTCGATATCCGTCAGAAAATCCGTTTTATATGATGTATGTAAATACAGAAGCTATGATCTGAGAGCTAGCACGAGTGAAAGGTAGACAGATTTCGACAACGCTTTATCAGATTAATTTACACCGCATTAAATATTATTTTCAATTGTAAACGATTTGACAAAAAAATATTCGTTTAAAGTAGTTTATCTATGAAAATTGAGGGAAATAGCGCTGTTTCTACCTAGTTACTTGCGACAAGTTATGATTTCTGTTTTAATCAACATGAAACAATTATGTTATTATATTCTTTTCTGTTATTGTATTATCAACAGATTCGCCGAGCGTTGGAAAACAAAATAAAAATGTTAACATCAGGTGTTCTTTCTTCAAAGGAGGATTACAAATTAAAGGTAATATGTTGACATAAAAGTTGTCTGAATTATATATTATTGTTCAGGATTCAAACGTACTACAGTGCTTTCAATACTGTATCGAGATACTAAATTTGCATTAAAAGGTGCTATTCACTCGTGTTCCACCTGTACAATCTTCTATAATGCAGTTGGCAGATAACGCTGGTGGACTTCTAGTCTCCGAGATTTGCAGCAGTAACATGCATGCCAAATTTAATTTCATTCTAATAGTAGCACGGTTCCGAATATTCACATGTACTTAACATCCTTTGAAAACTGTCAGATTACAAAATTTATTGAATCTTTGGACTAGAGCAATCCCCAAACCTCCTACCCTTCCCTTTTATCTTGACATTTGACAGTTTTAAAATTCAATCCTCAGCATCCCTCCTGACGAGTTCTAAGAGGACGATACAGTTCTATGATGCAGTTAAATTCATTGTTTAACTCTACTATATCTGAACTGTTTGTCTTTCGCTCAGTCTCCAAGAAGTTAAATTTGAATTATTGAACGTTGATTTTAAAACATTTTTTTACTCTAGGTTATCAAAACGAAGCCCAGCAACGTCACTACAGACAAATATGGTATGTATAATGTTATATTTTTCCTCGAGCACCTCTAAGACACTCAGCATCTGTAATGAGTCCTAGATAGACGAAACAACTGAATGATAAAATTCTTAAGATGTATTAAAAGAGATTATCCACCTGGACAGTATATGTAGCAGACTGTCAATCTAAGGTTCATTTTGTTAAAACATACACATTCTGGTATATCCCTATGGTATTTACCATTGATTTGTTTATCGGCATTGCAATTAATTAATAGATATACTATTTTTCTATGCTTATATATTGTATATGCTATGATGTTTATAATAAAAAATACTTTATTATGTATTTCACAGCACTGACCAATGGAGTTCCTACACCATTTAAAAAAGCAACCAGCTATCAGCAAGTACGTTAATCATTTCTAAGCTCTGACGCAGTTTTTATTGTGGTTAATGGTATCGAAACCATTTTAATAGAATACATCTTCTTTATTTATGTAAAAATATCATGCGGGACAAAATAAGAAAATAAAAAGAATAATCGAATTTCGACAACTTAATGAAATCTGGAAAACGAACTCAATATTGAAAAAAAAACATTCAAACTATGAACAAAATAAATATTTAGTAAAAGAACAAAGTTGCGAGGAGAATTAGACCAAGGGTTCCAGAAAAGTAAGCGTCTTCTGCTTCGTAGACAATCGAAATCAAGAATGCTACATTCTCAGACAGGAATACAGGTTGATAGAAACGAAACCAGCAGGCATTCCAACAATCATTGGATAATTCAATGTCATAGACAAATATCAAACAAGAAAGTGTAACGTATTGCATTTTCAAATGAAATCCTGATAGAGTCCTATATCTAAATTTTCTCTTTTATAACAGGCAAGCGTGCTCAGACGTTTCGATTCCTTTACAGCATTTCCTAATAAGGCTTCCAGGTGATAAAGACAAACTGCGCGCAAAGAAAGGACGACAATTTAGAACAATTGGTGCGAGAAATTCTGATGGAGAATGAATGTGATAAACAGAGATTTAGTATAATGTAACAGATTAAGAGAATGCCGAAGTACTGTTTGTATCGTTTGTACTGTTGATATCAAATATGGTCAGTTTATCATTACATGGATGATATCAGTTATTAGAAGAGTGTGATTTCTAATTTTTTTCGGCATCATTGCAGATTTTGATTCCGGTCTTCCGATTGGACGAAATCAATTGTATAGCCTAACAATGAAACAGATGTGCTATAACAACTATATTTAAGTTATAGAAAGTGACAGAAAAGGGTTGTTGCGATACAGGTTGTTTTTTTTATGACAAATGACTTCTCATATTATTGATTTTTCTCAAATAACTATTCATAAGATAATATAAGACTCTTTTCTATATGGGTATGTAGGATAGGGATATTCCACCCGAGGGGTCACAAAATATGGTAAAACCCGAGGCTTGCCGAGGGTTTTTACCACATTTTGTGATCCCGAGGGTGGAATATCCCTATCCTACAAACCCATATAGAAAAGAGTTTTTTTTTCTCTCATTTTTAATCTCATATTATCAAATATTTGCACTCACCTCGCGGTAGCCACCACTGGATGCCGCCATTTTTCAGAATTCTATTTTTCCCCTTGGGTTATATACGTAAAAAATTGCTGAAATAGATTCTCCATCCCCAAATTTTGCAAACTATGTTTGCGGTCGTAAACATAATATGGACTGTGAATGTAAACATCCAACGTCAGTGTTTAACTGTTTTTTCTTCAAGCGGGCCGGGTCAAATATCCTGTCAAATATGTCACCCTGAGACACGCATACGTGTTCAAATATAGTGCCTTAAAACACGCAATAAAACAACATTTTTCTTTTTGATATTTACTATTGTTCAATGCATAATATACCATAAACACATTTAACATCTTTGAACATGTTGTTCAAGTTATAATACTACTTTACTGTCAATAGTAATCTTACAAATCTTACACATTTATGAATGGAATTCTTGGTTTGCTTGTGAGATGACGTCACTTACGTCACACATTTCGCGCCATACCGACAGGAGGAAAGTTAGTCACTGTCACTTTCAATCACACGTGGACGACGGTGGAAAGGCTGAGTCCCAGGGTTGGTGATGTTGATATTTATAGAACAATTTTGTAAATACGACCCTGCAAACAACGACTCCATTCGACTATGCGTGTTTGTGGATGAAGCGGTTGACGAGGACATAGTCGATGAGTGCGAGGGAAAAAACTATGAATTACTCCGCGCGCGAGGCTTTATTACACAGGCGCCTGTGTAATAAACGTCTATCATGACCATGTTTATTACCCTGGACAGGCCTATCTGACACAGGTGGAAATGAGAGAAAATGATGTCTTTGTTGTGTTATGTCAGCATTGATAGTTTCCGAGTTATCAGAATAATGATTTCATTTTGGTACAAAATAATTACAATTAGTATTTTTAACGTTTACAATTTAATTATGGACACTCATTACACATCCTTCGAAAGTTCTGTAATTGTTCTGTTATTACAAATATAGTTCATGTCATATCATTCTTCCGAGTGACAACCACCCTCCGTATTAAGATACCACAATATGTTTATTGGATTTTAATGTAAATTGGGGATTTTCACATTCATTAGTTATTTGCTACGGCATCCTCAAACCACCGTCATAAGATGGTGGGTTATTTTTTATTCGCCTTTTGACCTTTGTCGTTTGTAACATCTAACATCGGCCCAACAGAACACACGACTTAACACCACAAGAGTAAAAAAAATAACTTTATTTTGGAACTCTTCACTCAGATTGTCAATATTAATTCACTAGATCATTCTTTCCGTCCGTCTATATAATGCTTGTTATCGCTATTTCTTGCAAAGTGTTAAAGGGTGTTTTTCTTTCTGTTTCCATATGTAAATTTCCCTTGGTCCCTAATTGTGCCCTTTTGTTTTTGGAATTGTTTCAGAAAACGAACATTGTTGATTGGCTAGTTACCATCTTGGATTTGGCAGTCAACGATCATAATGATTATTTCTTTAAGTTTATTTTTTTTAATTTCCTGTAAAACAGAGGAAAGAACAGAAAAGATCCAACTTTGAAAGAACGCCAAGATCACTCAGAGATTTCTTCATTGGTATATATATGCATGTGTATATTAAATAGAAATAGCATGTTAAGTGGTAAAGATTGAAACGACTGCTATGCGTTTCTGTGTGTGTTTACACTGACACCGGAAAGAAGACCAGCTTAAAAGGAATGAAAATAATAGCTTTTAAGAGAAAATTACTTTCGAATCTTAGTTTTGATACATGGTAACCGCTTTTGATCCCTTTATAATCATATATTGTTCAAAATACAGTTTCCATTTTAAATGAATCACTAAATTCCTTTTAAAGATGAGTGGTCAAAATTCATTTCACTGACAAAAATATGATGCCATTTCGACACCATTTTAACACAAAAAATCCACACTGATCGACTGACAATTGACATTCTGATAAAAAGCTTCCTCAAGCACGTGTTTCCTGTATTAAACCACACTGCATAGTGTCTCATGGGGCTAGATAAACTCAGTTATCTTTTTTTTTTTTTTTTTGCACATGACAAAAACGGAGATGATAAGTCACTGTTCAGATAAAGCAGTTTTCGTCATTGAATGTCACCTGTGATTCTTCTGATCCTCGATGACCTTTTATCTTGTTGACCTTCCTTTGATATTTTTAGTCGTAGGAAGATAACAAAACTAGTTAATCGATTGGTCATGATTGTCAACTTGTCTCCTTTTTTTTTTATCCCGCTAGAATTAAATGATTAGTTAAAGAGAAGAAAATTGTGTATCAAATAAGCTTTCGTGCACATTGTTTTTAAGTGATTTCATACGTACGAATGGTATCTTTCTGTATGCTTGAAAATCAGTTCTCGGATCAACAAAACTTCGACCCTTTTTGATGTCAACTTGGCGGAAAAACGAATATATAATATGTTTTTTTCAAAGATATGAATATAAACTTGATTTATTTTACAAAAATGGTGAAACAGGTTATGTACCTTACACTAATCAGTCTTAACGTGCCAAGAGGGGAGCCCACGAAGACTGTTACTGAGGGACGAAACCGTTTACCAAGGCGGTCGGGCAAGTGAACAATACCTTATAGCCTCCGAATCTTCTCCCAGGTTACAGTTGTAGTCAGTATGTTGGGAATTTTTTAGCATAAAGGACAACGACATGTACGAGTTCAGTAACCAGGGTTTTACGTGATCATAAGAAGCATGAATGAAAACTTGTAACACATTTATGCTTGAATTTACATTCTCATGCATAGGCAAGTGCAAACAAGGGAAATAACTCTTACTAGTTTTAAATTATTTATATGGTGTTGTTATGTAAGATAAGGAAGTCATAAATTACAATTAATGTTACTAATCAATGATACTAAACGGTCATTATTCATCAAACTTGTCAGACCTACAGGTAAGAGAGTTACATGTAGAAATATCACAACACTCTCTTAAACTCGCGTTTAACATTACGTATAGAGACAAAATACTACTTAAAAGTCACAGGAAAAATCCGTAAATGAGTGTAAATACATTTGATAGATCAATGTTCAACACAAACAGTTATAATAATTATTACTATTGTGTTGGAATAGGAGAAATAGTGAATTAAGGAATTCATTGGTAAGATTTCTCACATTCTCCGTTTTGTTATATCCATGTCTGACTGTCATCCCGCCAATGATCCGCTACACTACACAGTGATCACAACAAACTAGCCAATCAGCACACAAGACGACCACAATAACCAATATAACGTAAAGGGACATTAAAGTCATTTAACAGAACCACACCATGAAATACGGACGAGCTTATGAAAAACGCACTTTCGTGACGGCAATAGCAATGCGAGCCGGAAAATAAACTTTCGTCATAGACAGTATAATAATGAAAAATAGCATACATTATATAACATATTAAAGCCGTTCCTTCTACAACTGCGCCACATAACCACACTGTAATTCTTTCTTTTTACCTTTACAAAGTCATAAAAAATAATTTCCCAATACGTCACCTTTACAAGCTGCTTTTCAAAATTAATTCCAAATAATCATTAATTCTATGATGTTGCAGTTTGACACATCAACATGTACGTGAAAGAAAGTTCGACTGAAAGTTACACTATGTCAATAAACGTCATATCCGGTATGTGACCGACAGGTGAGTCAAGGGTTATCAGTGTCAACAACAGAATGCGGACATGCTACACATAGTTTCCTGTCCTCTAAGCATTATTCACACGTCAAGCCTTTGATAAAGAGATATGATGTAAAGATAGCTTTATTGTCTTGTTGATATTTAAATCAATAGACAATCGTCCTCCTTAGACAAATATTAACAATCATCGAGAAAGAAGGAAATGAATCAAAATATATCAAACGACGGCCCAACGTTTCATTTTCGCTATATACTGTAAAATGAATCCTATCTGTGACTTTTCGTCAACATAAAATGAAGCCAATGTTATAAATGTGGATAATCAAGCAAAACAAAAACAAAACAAATAAGAGAATAACGACATTACCATACATATGCATCATGGAGCTGCTTCGACCTTCTAGGACTCGTCAGTGATGCTACATCATACAGCCCGTTTCGTCCTTTTAGGACTCGTCAGTGATGCTACATCTTACAGCCCGTTTCGTCCTTCTAGGACTCGTCAGCGATGCTACATCATACAGCTGCTTCGACCTTCTAGGACTCGTCAGTGATGCTACATCATACAGCCCGTTTCGTCCTTCTAGGACTCGTCAGCGATGCTACATCATACAGCCTGTATCGTCCTTCTAGGACTCGTCAGCGATGCTTCATTATACAAACTGTTTCGTCCTTGATGCTAGGGGCCTAAAACGTTGAAATCAGGGAAGAAAATCAGAATTTGTCAAAAACTAGACATGGAGACTCAAAAGACACATGTTTAGATAAATTGAACAAATTTTAGTACGACGAAAATCATCGTTTATAAGACAAATCTAGTATCTAAACGACAAAATGTTTCCATTTTCGCTGCTCTTTTTTATTAACTATACCGTGTTATTTTACACAATATTGATGCAGTCTAAAAAGTGTATTTTGGATCGCTTAAAATTGACTTTTATCGATTTCCTCTTGACAAAACAAGTACTACAACTTTAGCTATAAATGGACACGGGGATAACTTGCCTCTATGTCCATATCAAAATCAGTGTTTGACAAATTTCTCATGAAATTATACTTTTGGTGCTAATTTTGTCATATCATTGTCTTTTATTGCGTAGTTGTTTCATGATTTATCAGTTGATACAACTATATCGGCAACTTATCAAGAAAGGCAGCCCTTCTGTTTTGTTAGAAGTACAACCTTTCTTTTCCATGTCATGCCTTGAAATCAATGTTACAGGTTCCTCTTACTGTGTTTCTACTGTATTTCTGTTATCATTTCGGTGCTGTTTTTCTATTTGATTGTGTTAAGAATGTAGGAAGATAACATATTGATATTAAAAGAGCATTTCTTGTATTAAACTTGCCGTCGTGTTCAGTGATACAGCTTTACGTATTTTTCTCATTATTGACCAAAAGTGAAATATTATTCAGCTGGAATATAATGTTATTAGTGCTATTTAACTTCACTGTTGTACGAGCTACGATATCAACATTGTTTACACGAAAATCCCATTACTATCACAGTAAACAAATAAGGAAGATAGACAAACAGAGCTAGTGATGATATAGATAAAAGCGAGCAATATTAAAATCCAATGTCTTGGATATATCCCATCTTTGGACGCTAATTTGGAGCTTGTCCGTCAACTTAACCGCTTGTTCGTGTTATCGCTTCAAGTATTAGGGTTGAATTCCAAAACTGTAGGCAAGTTTTCTTCAATCACAATTTCAGGGGACCAGACATGATTTTATACTCGTATCTTGAGATAACGGAGAAGAAAAATACCATTGCTGGAAAAGGGTATTATGTTAAGTTTGCATGAAAGGCAGTGTGTGAAGTGATACATGTACCTACCAGCAATTATCTCGCGATAAGTAATAGCTCTTCAGTATAGATTGAAATTGACTGGTCTAAACCATCATATCACCACGACAGAGGATGATTGAACAGCACTGATGCTTCTATACTGAGTTGAATGTATAATCTAATCTTAAAAATGACAATGGATTAATAAAACACTATGGGGAATATGCCAGTGTGCAATGAAATGTTGAAATAAATCACACCAGTTTTCTCGTAATATTGAACGGATTACAAATAATTTCGTCATCTCTGGGAGATGTAAGTATAGTAGTTTATTTTAACTATCGTCTTTATCGGTTGTATCGTTGCACTAGAAAAAATATAGGAACAGTATGTACCTGTCATTCTTATTATTTTTATCCTGTTTCGACCCATATATGCAAATTACATGATATCGTCAAGTTTATTGACATAAAGGTGACTTCCATTCATCTTGTTGCGCAGGTACACCTTCGTGAAGGATATCTAGTCCAAGCATTCGTTATCGGCGTGAAACAGGATTTTAAACCTCCGACCACCTCCTACAAAAGATATTATACGTATGAAATAAAATATATTTCAGTGGTAAAGATGGAGACAAGGATGACGAGATATGTTCTTTTTATTACCTTGGTAAGTATTAAAATATGAAATGTGACTTTCGTATATTATTTTGGTTTTCAAATTTATCATTTATATAATCGTTTAGGAAAATGATTTTTACATTACGTGCATTTTGATAGTATATACGAAGAGAGAAAAATCTTTGGCACAGCTTAAAACGTATTCTACACTAAAACACTAGTATTTGGTAGACAATGCTTGTGGACTTGCATGCCAAGTTTGAATTCATTCACGATTTTCTTCTTTTCTGACATTAAATCTCTTGCCATACCGGCAAGTCATGATGATTTATTCAAATTGATAAACGATACCTAATTTATATCTTTCTTCAAAACTAAAGCAGATAATTGTGATTTTAATTTAACACGTTTATTATCTTATAATTGGTAACTATAGCTATGTCACTTTTGAGAGTTTTATTAGTGATACAGTGTATATTTCTGTGACAACAGAACAACAGAAAAGTTTTCGTATTTCCTAATGTATCTTATAACATATAGTCCATGCGTAGATATACTAAGGTTTACAGGGTGGGTGTGGTCGCTTACTCTTCCGGAACACCTTGTCTTTTTAATGACATCTTTAAGAGTTTTACACATGTTCTTTTTTGCAGTGTTTCCTTGATTTACGTTTGCATAACAATGCTGTTACTATGTCAATATAATATGGTTGCATATTGATTTTATAATGAAGTTTACCCTGTCGTATCGAACCAAGTGTATCTGTCCTGAAGTCATTATGATATATGCTCTATCTTTGTGTATTTGTGAACGTTTGTTTCTGTTGTGGTTATTCATATCATGGTGACGGTTATATTTATCAATTTATTTATTTATCTATAAGTGTTTATAAACTGAGGGATGGCTAAAGTTATGTTCCGTTTACTTTTTATGGGTATTGCTACTGGAAACGAAGTAAAAACAATAAAAGATAACTACATATACAGCTTAATGAAGGTACATTAAAAGTACTAGACTTTATTGTTGATACAACATTTCATTGTCAAATACATTTTCTGGATATACCTGTACATATACAAACTTTAAAAAAAAAAATACAATATCCAAATCTTTGTATTCACCTATTACTGTTCTGTCATACTGTGAGACATGTATCCAGTAAACAACCGAGGAAAATAGGATCAATAATTATTCTCAATGCCTCTTGTCATAGAAACACGGCTAAGTCGAACCATCGGATAAGTCGAATATATCTTTCGGTTCCGTCGACTTCGACTTATCTGTGTTAATTGAACATTCACAGAGTCGACTGCTGTCTTTGATATTACTTGTGTCTCTTACTTTTTAAGTCAAGCTCTGACTTTCTGAGAACACCTCAGCATGAAGTGTTTGCTACAGTTGTAGCTTATTAATTATCACTAAATTGATTTGCTACAGCATATGCTCAATTGATTTAAAATGCTACCTTCTAGTCAAAAGAAACCATTCGAATTTTCATTGCTTTGGTTTGAAAGTTAAATGTACAGAAAATATTGCCCATGGTGTGAATATCGTAACGTGGTAATTGTTATCTACCAGTTCAGATAAATATACACGCAATATGCTTTAATTATCTTTGATAAAATGTATGATCGTATATCTGGTCTATTGCTCGAAATATGTTTGGTATCTCAACCATTAGTATTAAAAATACGCCGGTATATGACTTATACCAGTCATCTACAAATAAAATGTACCGTTACTCATATGGTGAATGAAAAGTTACAGTTCGCTCACGCTGAATGATGATGGCTAGCATACTTAATATGCTCACCATTGAACATGTTGTAAGTTTCAAATTAATTCATACATTTATTGAATTAAAGAAAAAAATACTGATATGTCAACAGAGCTGAATTCAAAATGAAAATCGGTGCAACAAGGGTCAAATATTAACAAAATATTAACATAGGCAAGGAAAAAGGACAATGACAATAAGGGAAGGTGATCAGGAAGAGTAAGCGTTTTTTGCTTCATCGACGACTTAGTCGTGTTAATTTTGGTTTGTCCAAGTAAGTAATGTCCCGTTCCCCAATGAGAACAAGGTTAACAACAATAAAACCCCACATTATAAGATCCATTATATGCAGGATATATTTGCGCTATTTTACGGTACAGTAAAGTGGACACGAGAATGCACTCTGTGAAATAATGAGACACTTGTACATTAAAAGTAATTTACATCCAAATTGCTAAAATTTAATGAGGTCAATACAAATCGGTCATTTTAAAAGAAAATCGCGAAAATTTTGACTCACGAAAATTTCCACCTATACGTTATTTTCCCATCGTGTTATAATTTTATTGTCAACCATTCTTCTATTTTAGTGTCAAGTTTTTCTAGTGCATGGTAATAATGATACGACACCAGTGATCCGTGAGTATTGAAAACTATAATACTATTCACGAAAAAATTGACGTTATAACGTGTTAAATGGTTTCTCATAAATACATAATTCTGGTAGCTTAAATCATCTGATATAGTGTGTTTATACAAAAAGCTATTTCATAATACGCTTATATTTGTGTTTGTGGAGATCTTTGACAGTATCAAAACAAGTGAAGATACTTAATTTTCTGTTACAATTTTAGATATCTAACGATCATCACCGAGATGTCATTCAACGTGTTGTCGCTATAATTGTATATAGTTCTGAATTTGTATTGAATGTGGCATTCCCTGAATTGTCTTTTGCACAATCTTCATATCGATCAACTGATAAAAAAAGAAACTTTCATTTTTCAATTTCGGGATATGAGGAGAATATTACTCTTTATTTACCTTACTATTAATACTACATGTACCCCAGCTTGTTTGTTTTGTTTATTTATGAAAACAATATTACAGGGGGAAAATGTTATGTTCCGTGACGTTACTTTCTTCATGTTACATTATATTAAGTCTTGAACTACAACGGATATCAATATAAAATGCCTATAAAATAATGATATAAAATAATTATTTTGGTAACTTTGAAATGCAAGTTTATTTGAAATATAAAATATTTTAGAACACGGCTTATCATAATTTTATCCTGAACAATCACATCCAAGTATTCCCATTAATTCATTACTTTTACTTTGCAAATTTTACTTTCATATTTACTTTATTCAGTAGAGGGAATTACGAAGGCATTATTGTATATTCAACTTCTTCAATTCTTTTTCAAACTAGTGCCAAGCCCACCAACCAATGTCACTGTGTTGGAGAGGCAGACAACAAGTGTTGTTCTCAAAGTGACACCAGGAGCAGGACAGCATGACACGTTCTGTGCAGAATATTTCAACATGTCACATCCTGATCTGATGACAAAAATATGCAATGACAGTGTTTTACTATCTTTAACCGGATTACAGCCAGGAACTTCTTACAACGTATCTGTTTACACTATTGCCAACAATCAACGAAATCCCGAATCAATGTTTGATGGGATCCTTATCTCAACATGTAGGTTAAAATACTTTTTTTAACGTTATCCAATTATTAAAGAACTATAATTGCAAAAATTGGATGTAAACGGATGTTTACAGAACAGATTTTATTGGAAGGGGTAGTGAGTGGATATTAACTGTGTGATTTCTTGTGCTTGCCATTTTCGGTTTAACAATAATTTTTTTTTTATCTTTTTGCACATATATATTAACTATGTATCGCTGAATTCTACATAAAGTACGGTGAAAGTAGTCGGTTGTATATACATTTTATATTGTATAGAAAGTGAAATATTATTTTTTTCCGAACGTTGTTTATCTTCTTTACAAGTAAGTTAAGAAAGCTATATTGGTGTTAGATAATGCATATAACATACAATCTTTAGAACAAAACTGCCGACTGCAATTTACGATAATGGCGAAATATTGACCTTATTTAAATTTTGCTTCAGATTAATGTTTTAGGATTGGAACTCTTCAACGTCATAGATATTATTACAATTTGCGAAGCCTGTTTGTAGCTAAAACACATCACCGCTCCTTAAATGAACCTTTCCATTATAATTTTTGATTTTGTTTTATAGTACCCTCTGATCCACAAAAATTGACGATTTTGGAATATACATCTACCAGTATTGACCTACAAGTTACACCTGGGATCGGCAGCTATGACGGATTCAAATTAATCTACTTCAGCACTCAACATCCAGCAAAATATGTCCAGATGACATACAGCAATCAGAACATTTCGATAGAAAGTCTAGACGCAGGATCTACATACAATATATCAGTCTTTACATTATCAAACAATATTCAAAGTGCTGTGTCCATTTTTGCTGGGAAGCTAGTATTGACACGTAAGTCTATATACTACTGTTATGAAAATAAACTTAAAATTGTTTATAAGCTTAATCACAATAGAATGTCAAGAATGATTCTAGTAAATTGTATAAATTTTTCGAAACAGATTAAAAGACTGTGTCGGAATGTAGGGTAGGGATATTCCAACTGAGCGGTATCAACATAGCATAAAACCCGAGCCTTTACCGAGGGTTTTACCATAGCTTGTGATCCCGAGGTTGAAATATCCCATCCTTCACCTATGAAAGCGTATCTTTCCTTCATTTCTCATTCTAACTGATTGAGAAAATGATAGCTTCAGACGTCGAGAATATACTACAAAGAGCTTCCCTAAAAATGAAAACAAAATTTAAACAGTCACTGCAAATAACAATTCATATACATGTGTGTACTGAGTATCATGCGACGACGTCAGTCGGGAAGAGATACGTCACACTTCTACGCACGCGTGCCGGTATTGCATGGGTGGGAGTGTAATACAAGAACATCGTAGTGCATTGTTCTGGACAGACCAGTATTACAAAGATAAAAATCAAAGAGAAAATAAGACATTTCACCTATAACGTTTCTATGTTTACAGTACCGGCCTCTCCATCTAGTGTGGTAGTAACAGCAAGGACAAATACCAGTCTCAATATCACGATAAACCCTGGAGAAGGAGCTCATGATGAACTATTAGTTGTCTACTCCGGGGCAGGTATTTCTCGTCAATACGCGGTCAATACAACAGAAGGCAGCTGGACCTTTTTCCTCGGCGAATTACAGCCAGAGACAGTGTATAACATATCTGCATTCGCAATTGCAAACAATCAACGAAGTATGGCGTATGTCGTTCCTAGAAATGTTTCCTGGACAGGTACGTCTGGAATGATATTTCTTATAATTATACAAATATGAATTTGTTTCTGTGTGTTTTAATGCATTTAACTTTAAGATATTGGAGGCTCATTGCTTTTAAATTGTATTTTAAAAGTATATATATATGTTGTGCATATTTGCTCTTGCAAGACTAGCCAGGAAAATGTGGATTTTTCACAATGGACATTCATAAAAAATTTCTCTTTTTTGTATCATTGAATTAAAAACCGAATCTTGTCATTACTCATCCACTGATATGTCTATTACGACACCCAAGGGAATACAAACGTCACACCTGTCAATGAGGAACCAGGCGGTAGGCTATTGTACTACCTACACTTATTCCTATTTAGAAGTTGTATCATTTACCACAATGATACTCTTCTATTTGTCAACCATGCATGATTAGGATGTTCTCTTAACCATTCATTCTATTCCTTCAAGAGTTATCAGTAATAAATGATATATTGTAAAAACACATATCTAAGAATTCTTCTTAATTTAGAGCTTGAAAGATACGCATTAAAATATGATCGCGCAAATTGCACTTCTGTTATACTGTTATATAGCCATTATTGTGGATCCGCGAATTTTTCATTGCGCTAATTCAAAAAAGTGAAAAGTGACAATCTGCTAAAATTTTATTGTGCCAAACTAATTATGTTTGAAATAGTATTTTTCTTAATGCGAATATTTATTTAAAGGTCAAATTTATAAGATAGATAAATTTCATAATCTCGACGGTATGGTCCAGCATAGTTACTGGATTCTTGCAAACAAATGTTCGCTGCATGCGTATTACTGTAAAAGATAAATGATTAATTAAGTTATAATGACAGCACGGACAGAACAATTTGTGTAATTTTCGGAAGGCAGATTACCAACTTGTTCTATCCTTTTAATATGTTTCTATTCACTATATTTTTCTTTCTTAAAAATATAACTTCTTTGAATCTTTGAATTTCCGGAAATATTTCCAAGTTCAATATTTTCATTTACTACGAAATAAGTACTTGTTTTCTTTTCATACCTGAGGTGGAAAGATGGTTATGTTTTTCTGTAACCGCTTGTTAGGTATCCTCCTATTTTTCTAGTGTCCAAGTAGTACAAAAACCACAACAAAGAATGTTTGAAATACAGTTAATATTGAAGTTTTTGGTTCAGATCAAAGAAATATTTTAGTCCTCCAAGTTAGTCTGAACCTCTAAGCCGTGTTTTTATCATTTGAATAAAGCTATTTCCGAATACCCACAAGCACTCTCTACCTCATGTACTTTTGGAATGAAAATAATAGAATAATCTGAATTATTGAAATTCCCCACATCTTGATTACATGGTGTTTATATGCCGCAGCGGATTCGATATTCAAGAGTCTGTTCCCATTATCACGATTTTCGTGCAAGAAGTCGTCAACTGACGGACAAACCTGTATTACAGGCTTTCCAAACACGCAGGTTGATAACAAAAATATGGGGAAGTTTAACGGTCGTCAAAATGATCACAATGAGAAACATTCAATTTCTTTGTGTGATATGATGACCGGATATGATTGATGCTCGTTAGTTTGGTTGCGTTGTATTACACCTTGTTCTCATATGGGAACGTGGCAGAAGACTCTTACTCCTTCGGAACACCTGGTCATTTTAAGGAGTCTCCGCGTAAATCTGTCTTCTGTTCATATTTTGCTTTTATTTCATTGGGTTTCAGTTTAGATTATGTTCATCCTGACATGTCTGTATTTGCTAGATTTTGACATTGTTTTCGATCAATTCTGAATTTCCTCAGACGCCCCCATTTCAAAATTTAGGTCCTTAGTATTGCCGACTTATCCTAGAAGGACGAAACAGTTGCCCAGTGTGGTTTCATTCATGATTTAGCCCTACTATACCTAATTCATCATTTCTTACGGAGAAAGTGTGAGTTGACCTAGAAATAACTCAAATTACCGTAGGATTTTGTCCGACCTTTTTGGCTGATGTTGCACTTTCACCTATCACTATACAATTAGCTCCCTAATAATTGTCAAAAAGACATCAACATATCAACGCTATGATGTAAAAGTAATACGCGTTTGTGGATTGTATAATTAATTCCTTGCCGTTTATATTATTCAAATTTTTGTTGCTCTTTGTAGATCCGACAATTGACAGTCAAGTTACTGTAACGACGTCCGAGGGACTCCTTTTCAACGTCACCATGCAAGATGAGAAATTGGACGGTAGGCCTTTTTTTTTTTACACATTGTGCTGATACTTGTTATCTAAACGACACACTACAGCATTGACACATATTGATGTTTGCGTGATTCTAACCAATCCATTTAGGAGATTCAATATGTTCAGTATATCTGCCCCATCCTATCCTATCACGTCTTCCTGCTAGCGACTACTTTTCTGAAGGAAATTTAATCCAACTGTTCTTAAAAGTCATACAATAACAATGATACAAAATGATACAGAAAAGTATGAGTGAAGTGAGCAAGCATTTCTTACAGAAATATTCAAATTTCATTTGAGACAAAAAAGAACATCATTTCTATTAAAGACAGATTTTTCATCGGAACTTGACTGAACACAAAACGGTAAAACTACTAATCACGAAATTACAAGAATTACGTACAACATCCCGCTATTGGGTACCGTACTATGATAAAGTTTTCGGATTTTCGAATACATTCATCCCATTTACATATTCATAACTTGAAAATATTATTATTATTATTACAGATGTGTGCCCCATATCCGGATACGTTAACGGGCCTTCCATGGCCATAGAAGGCAGCACTGTACAGTTTTTAGCAATATTTTCAGTTGACCGCGAGTGTTTGTCGTCCTCATCGTTGGATGAAATAGAATGGTTCATCAATGATATAAATATCACGAATAAAAGCTCATCCCGAGTACAAATTCAGTCAAACTACACACAGGCGGAAATCCCCTGGTCCTATTTGACATTTCGTGATCTATCAGTTCTTGATCAAAGTAAGTCATCTTAATTTTTTTTATTATCGTTATCTTAGTTGAAATTTACTTTTCTTGTTACTCTCTCAGCAAACTGCTGGCGTACAACTTCACTCTAAAAATGGGTAAAGAAAGGATCGAGGGCATTGTAAGCTTGTTTAAATGACAACCATTGACAATACTCAATGTATTTAAAAGGAAATTGAATATCCAATGACAAATTTTATCTGTAGTCTTTCTTTTATAATTGTATTGATAGAGCCTTTGCGAGCATGCTATCTTGGGCGATGTTTTACTAAATCTGCCATTGAAATCCAGCTGTTGCCAAAAGTAATGCTCGATCCTATATCAGTTTCTGTGGAAGTTGGAGGCCGAATCAACCTCACTTGTACAATAACTGAGTATGATGAAATTTACGATCTTGAGTTTACATGGACTTTTAGAGGAATAACACAGTCGAACAAATCATCATTGCCAGGTAATGTTGTATTCTTACCTTTTTCATATTTAAGACATAATTACGTTGTTGTTTGTTTTAATTTTTGTTTTTTGGGTTTTTTTAATTAATTAATTTTTTAAAATCTTTCTAAGTAAGCTTTATATCAAAATCATATTTCAGCACATCGTCATATAGGTTTTTAGATTTTATGTCGAAAACGACAATAAGAACGTATACCGAAATCAAACTTAAAAAAAAAAAATAAATAAATAAGATAGCCCGTTTAATATCATAAAAGTTCAATTAATCTTTTGCCAAATATTAGGCATGAATACAAAATAACTAATTCTATTGCTTTACAATGGAGACAAATTTCTTGTATCTCCTTTTTATCTTTGTTACGCAATGTAACTAAAAATACAATACAAAGGAAATTTACAAAGCTTTGACAAAACATCATCATGATTTCGATACCAAAAATATCTTTTCTTGCAAGGAAGATATTAGCCGTTCTAAACACATGATATAATTTTCCTAGTATTTTCATCTTGTAAATTGTTCCATTGTTAATGTCAAATCCTTCTTAAGTTATTTTGTATAAGGGCTGGGGTTTTGCTTATAGGTGATATTCATGTTTGTTCTATTTTCGCAATTTTGATATTTTTCTATACTCATTTTAGGTTTACAATCAACACAAAATTCAACGTCGATTCTTCAGCTCCGAAATATAACAAAGCAGGACAGTGGAAACTACACATGTGCCGTTATGCTATTCAATATCAACAGCACCACAATCAAAGGAAATTCAACAAGTTTTCTGTCTGTGATAGCTGACGGTAATTAAATAATTCGAATCTGATTGGAAAAATATATAATTTCATGTAAATTATTCACATGAATGAATATCTGTAGACGGTTGACACAGGTAGAACATGTGTCCGTGTTATAAGATCACTAGTAAACTTCCGGTTGTTGATCTCTGAAGTGGTGATGAGGATAATTTTGGTGTAATAACATATAGTATCTGGTTTCATTGAGTGAGTCCTATTGAATTTATGAAACTTTATCCGTTTGATTTAATGATGTTAAAAATCTAATGTATTGTGTAATTAGATATTATACCATTTGTATAAAGCTGAATAATAAGGATGCAAACTATTTTCTGAAACGTGTTCGACATACACCTGTTTCAAAGAACAATCCATTTGTGACGCCTACCACGGAAGAAAATAGAATATATGGATACATTTTAAACCTAATAGAACACAAAACAATTTATAATTCATACTTTAACTACGTTTTGTTAAAGAAGTTAAATTGAGTCTTTCGGAATAGGCTGAACAAAAATGTTATCCGATTTATCTGAAGTGGGCATGCGGTAAATGTTGCGTTCCTTTTTTTTTATGTTTTTTTCTTATCTGGAAAAAAAACGCCTAGTCTTTGCCTTGTGTGCTAATTGTTTTGTTCTAATTCATCGTCTCACGATGTCGTTAAAAGGAGAGGAAGCCTGTCCCTCGATTACTGATAAAAGCGGTTTAATGTGGTCTGTGACACCAGTAGGACACACGCAGATCCTTGTTTGTCCATCCTCATTCACAGGTACATGTATATATTATCATATAAATGTGTCTGAATACTAGCTCTTGCACGACGAAATGACGTCATAACCATAACCATGGAAACAGCAGACGAATGCCGAAAGTCAAGATAGCGTTGTTGTATATACATGTTAAAAGCTTAGATGCATTTTGTTTTTCAAAAAAACTTTGTAAATGTCAATGAACATAGAAAAAAAATGGTTTAAGGTTTCTGTGTTTGTCACATTTAAACCCAATTGCTTTTGTAGTTTTACTCGACCTAAATGACATATCCAAACGTATTGCAATATCGTTCAGTATGAGCAATATCACTTTGTAAACGAAGATACATGTACACAAAAGCATTCCGATTGCTTTTTCGTAATTGTAGTAAAGGATTTATGAAGTTTATATAGTTAGATAGTCGATACATGCTCAAGATCATGCATAATACACATTAAACCTCAACAAATTAAGCTTCAATTCGGTCTAACAGAAACATAATTTAGAACATATTCATGTCTTTGGCATTCCTTGAAAGTATTCATTAGGGGAATTTTATTCTTTAATGAAATATGAGATATGATAATATGAGCTCAGTATACCTCATCAGCTCTATTTTGATAGTAATTTAGACCATTTTGGATTTTCTAGATTTAAATAAAGCATCATTAACGAGTCGTAAAAGGACGGAACAGTTGTTTAATGCAATGCCGTTAATTATCTAGTTTAAACTTTTCATTGAAAATACCTTTCACTTTAATAACATTTTTACATTGTTTGTATTTGTAATGATTATGAATGATAATGAGACAGAAAAGATGTAGGAACAAAGGAAAAGATTTTGATGTTGATCTGAAAAGCTGTGTTAAGTTTATCAACCAGAATCATCCTTACAAATTAAAATGAACCTACAAAATGCAATTTGTTTCTTAATCTATAATGAATGAAATTTCATGATTTTTATCAATGACCTCGCTTACCTTGTAGGTACTGCTACTAAAACTTGCGGTGAAGATGGACTTTGGACAAAAACAAATCTGATCAACTGTGTAAGAAAGGAAATAGACGCTGCTTTACAACAGGTTTCTATATTTACCACAAATATGTAAACGTTACCAGAAGATAATTCAAAATTATTTTTTCTTTATTTACTTGAAGATTATAACGCAGAATAATTCATTTACGAACAAAAATTGCTTTACTTGATCCTGGCTCTGAAATAATAAACAATGGTTCATTTCATTGAGATATATTGTCTTATATACTGTCTTATTTATCAAACGTACAATGTAATTTACAATTCAATGATAAAAGCTAAAGCAGTAACATACATTTATTTCGTCAGATTAATGGTATAAAAGAAGGACTTGTTGATGCTAGTGAGATCCACAACGTTCTTTACAGTATGGAAAATGTCACTACAACTTCAAACTTCAAAATCCACGCGCTATCATCTGGGGACTTGAGCAAGACTTCAGTTGTTCTAAGCGCATTGGTAGATGTAATAGATGAATCCAAAGCACCTCCGAATTTAACACAGGTATGTTATGACTATTGTTGATGACACATATAACATCATACATAAAAGATTACACAATCGTAAAATTGCCACAACAATACATTAGTGAAAAATACCAACACACGTAAGTTACACAGGGTTACAAAAGATGCAGGTTGTTGAAAATCATGGGGAGATTTTACAGACGTCATTGAAAAAATATTCTGTTTTCTTATGTGGTATGAAGCTGGGCGTTTTCAATGCTGGTTAGTTGACCTGTTGGATTCGTTTTTGCATCCCTCTCTTTTAAGAAACTGACATTTCTTACTTTGATTGACCAAGATTTATATGGCAGGTGTCGTCAGTAAAACATGATGTGCTTACCCCTTCGAAACATTTGGTCTTATTCTCACTGTACTTTTTATGAGCTTCCTTGCAAACATATATATATCAAAATGACAATTAATAAGCATAATACTATAGGGATCATTTCGTCTCATTGCATTGTTTAAATCAGATACGGTGTCTTGTTACCAGTTTAATACTGAATAAAATATATCTGATTTCAGAATTTTGTTAATATCATCGACAATATTTTGTCACCGGTAAATCAGCACACATGGACTGATGTAAACAAAGAGGTAAGAATGCAATATTGTTATTTTTTCTATGTACAATAGACTTAATTATTTATCAAGACTTTCAGTACAATAAAAAAGCCACATTGATAGATTAATAATACCGACTTTTGATATGTAATATTTTCTCTCCGTTCGTTAATAATGTAATAAGATGCAACTACGATGGATAACTTATTTGATGGTAACAGAAAACAATGTTTCGTCGAAGTTCCGGTATAATCTATTGACAATCCTAAAAAAATCTCACATCATGATATGTGAAATTAATGTACATATATTTACAACTTATTCTATCTAAAAGTTTATGATATTGCAAATAAAAAACTGTTCAAAGATTCAAACAACTAAATCAATCACTATATGTTATTATCTAGCATTTAAGCTAATGACATTAATATTAGAAGATCCATAGAAACACACCTGTCATAGGCTACAAATGATATGTTTTAGTTGGTTGAATGGCATCTCGGACTGTCATCACTTTAAGAATTCAACGACCGGAAATTTACAAGTGCAACTAACTACCCACGTTTTACAATCTAAATCCGCCCGGATACACTGTAATGTGCTAAACTATATATTTCCATGAACCCAAATAAATGCAGATTTCTTTCTTATGTTATGAATTGTGAATTTGAACCAAGAGATCACCGTCTTTTACCAAATTTCAATTTAGGCAGGGACTCTAACAGGTAGAACAGAATTCTTGTCTCTCATTGGCTGTTTCAGTTTCGTGAGTCCTTCAAACAAAAAGTTATTTATAACATTGATGCCACATTGATTCGTGATTTTTTGCAATTGCTACAAAAACAAATTTATCATGTAACAATGGTGGATTATTGATGGAGATCAAAATTTTGACGATAACGTTGACGTTTTGTTCCCAGTCCTCTACAACTGATGCAAGCAGTCTAATGGAAACGGTGGAAAAGTTAGGACATACTGTAGGGAAACACGTTAACATAGATTCACCTATCGCCATCGAGGGAAACAACATTGGTAAATATATTCATTAGCTTATTTTAGATATAACTCATTTCATTAACTGACTAAATCAGGGGGAAATGTGAACTGAAACGGAAAAATGAAAAGGTTTTGAATAGGTAAACTTCTCTTCGACGCATTTTAAAACCATGTTTTTTACTTTAAAAAAAGAAGATGTTTTTCAATCAGTCTATTCATGTGTCTTGCTTGCGATTTCGTCGTATATCTTTTATGCTGTTTAAACATGAGAAAGTGTAAAACTATGTCTGTCTTACCGGAAGTTGGTCACTGTGACTATTCTACGTTTGACTGTTGAAAGAACTGGAAAGTCATTAAAAGCATTTCATGCAAAAAGTGACATTCCACAAGGAAGCTTCTTGGTACGATTTTATTTGCCGTTTTTATCAACGACTTACCTTAAGTACTCATCTCTTTATATGTTTTATTCACCAATCACACAAAGTTATACAGACAAATCAAAAGTGGAGAGATGTACATATTCTACAGAATGATCTGGGTAAATTGCAATATTTGTCAGCAAATTAGCTACTTCAGTCCTACTAGAAAAATGTAAGATTCTGTCAGTCAAGCCTACTAGAAGAAGGAACCTTCGTATGTCAGGAACTGGAGACGAGCAAATTACTATAAGAAACATTGCATCAAAAAGCATACCTCGATACAACAACCCACGAGGATCAAACTTTCAGTATCCATAGCAAACCGTGAATAAGGCAAACAACATAGCAGAATTTACACGCAGATACTCTTACTAGTTTGACCGCACCTAGAATACACTTTTAGTTTGGAGAATCCATACAAGGCCCAAGATATTGATACTGAAAATGATCAAAGAAGAGCTACATAAATGATTTTTAAAATCTGACATATGAGCAGCGTTAACAACGACACTGCTTACCAACCATAAATTGTCGTCGCGCAAGAGGAGATCTTATCAACACCCTTAAAATCACAAAAAAAAACTTACAGCAAAAGGGTTACCAGGCACGTTTTCTTTACCGATTGGTGAACGTTGAATTATTGTTATTTTGCATGAAATTCCTTAAAAAGACCGAAAAAATTCAAATTGACGCAAAAGCAAATTTATCATATTTATTCTTAACCATTACTGGATTACTGATGGAGTAGTTAAATTTAAACTTGCAGTATAAGATATTGGACATGTATGAACATATTTGAAAGTATCAGTTTTATTTTGAATTGAAGTAAAATGCTTCTTTTTTCAGCTGTTGAAATAAGACGTGTTCAGAATCACGACATTCTTTCTAGACCAAAGATATCAAAAAGTCGTTCTAATTTTCAACATGAAATAGCGCTAAATCTGGGGACCGGATTCAAAGGTATGTACGTTTATTTCTCAATATCATTGCATGCTTTTCTTTATTATCGATATGAAATTTCAGAAGTCATTAGTAATGAGAATAAACGAGAAAAAATATTCAGAACAAGACGGATTACTGGAATCGGTATACAGGATGGACAACCCTGGATTAATTTACAAGCTGGCGAAGTATTCGTTATGAGTACTGGATACGTTCTGATCGCAGATGTTGACGAACCGCCGTTACATTTATATATATGTTTTACATGTTCTGATAAAAACATGTATTTTGGCATTATGTTTGTTTTTTAGAGAGAGCTTATTGATAGATCCATGCCAAATGCCAATGATTATATTTATTTGCAAAAATGTCACAGTACTCTTAGTAAGACAGACTTATGAGGTAAAACACAAATGCTTTGTCACATTGTAAATTTTGTTTAATTTGGTAACACAAAACAAAAAAACAAACAAAAAACTACACAAAACAAAATAATTTTTTTAAAAAGCATCTTTATATTCGACGATTCATTTATTTGTTCCAATTATTTCAAACATATACATGGGAGAAATTTAGAGTCAAACTTCGTTGTTTCGAAGTCGTCGGAGAAGTGAAAAAACACTCGAGTTAGACGAGTTTCAACGTTTGCTATATGATTGCGTGTATTATATAGCATTCGGAGACAAAATGAGGCTATTTGGGATCATTGACTTACCGACATGCCTGCTAATTTGTAGTTACTGAAAGGCGAGAATAACGATAAACAATTTCAGCAAAAAACGTTCACTATTAGATTAATAAATATTTACTTATAGCTACCAGTCATACACTTGCAATAAACATCATCGGTGAAACATGACAGTTAAAAATGTGACACCTTCTCGACCGCCCGTTGTGACCCTTATTTTTGTGTCATATTGTCGTGAGCTTTTACTTTGCCGTTTTACTGGTAATCAAAGTAAACGAAATCGTGAACGTATTTTTATTGTAATAATAGCCAGACATATATCCTCTTCAAAAAGTTGTACCAAGGCATTAAGGTGTCCTATGATAATAATGTACTACAACACAGTCTTGTATCACTACATTAGAAGTGCTATTTATGATTAAAATTTAGAACTTCGGGTTAAGATGTTTTATAATGGAGGATTTTTTAACTTCGAGTTATCAGTTTATCTCCTTTTCCAAATCAGATTTTTTCGAGTCTTCGTTACTGAGACAAAAAGAGAATATTGCCGGTACCGACAAAATTACTGCGAGTTAAGTGGGGTTTTCGAGTTTTCCGTGTTCGAATAAACTATGTTTGACTGCAGCTTAACATTACTGGAAATCTTATCTGCAATTTTTTTGAAATTATAGACAAACTTTTAAAAAAACTTCTCCTCACGAATCGTATTACTGATACATGATTTGCTTAATCTATTACAGGTGACGTAACATTCACATCTGCTCTGTATGCAACTATTTCGACTATTCTCCCTAACAATGACAAGTAAGTGATAGTATAAAAGATGTTACTAGATTTTGTAGTGGAATCCATGTACATTGTACATTGTTATCCACTTAATTCAGTAATATATGAGTGACACAAACAACATTGAATAAAGAAAAGAGGAAATAATGGCAAGGGAAAATGATGTGATATCAAGAAAATTGATAAAATGTGCGAAATAGTTTTGCGATGTATATCATATTGTTAGTATCCTTGTTTCGAATTCAAACTTAAGAATGAGTGCACCAATTGAGCTCGGTGTGCGAAGTGTGGCACACTTTAAATAATATACTGGATAGAAAAGAATAATACACGGTGTTTCGTTCTTTCTAAAACTGAACATAAAATGCACTGGGCTAAACATCAGGTTCCTTAAGTATAATAGGAATCAGTTTGTTATTGTGTTTTATGATCATCGTGGTAGCACGCGATAAACACTGCTGGCGGATTTTTTGTCCCCAAAGTTTGCTTAACCTACATGACACGTTTAACTCGTTCTAATAGTGGCATGATCAAAATATCCACATGTCCCTAACGTAAAATTACCAGATATATCAAAATTTCAAAATTAATTGAATTTATTGACATACTGCACCTCAAAATCTAGATTTTGACATTCTTTTTCGATCATTTTGGGTTTTCTTATGTCGCCTCCTATGCTTCAAATCTTAGTTCCATACTTACGAGTCCGTGAAGGAGGAACCAACCGTATGATGCAGTGTAATTCATCACTTGGCATTATTGTATCTAACTCTTAGTTTGTAATAAATAATTTGTTTCTTGTGTACAGTCTTCATGAAAAAATGCTTTACAAGTATTTAACATAGAGGATGCTTTTAGTATTTGTATTGAAGAACAACTAAGAAAATACCGACATACAGAATTATTATAATACAATCTCAACTTTGAGGAACTAAGCAAAAAATGAACAAAATATATTTTTACGCGGAGATTCATGAAAATATGCAAGGAGTATATAGAATACAGAAGAATAATGATAGGTTTGATACTATGGAAAAACTTTTGTTTAACAAAAATATCTTATTTGCTATTTCTGAATGACACCAACTTACAATACCATAGGATGGAGCCATTTCATGGCATTGCATATTTGAATTGACCTAGATTTATTTTGCGGATGTCGAGAATGAAGCAGAAGACGCTTGCCCTTCCGGAAACCTGGCCTGTTTATCTTTTTTGTCATGTTACTGTGAGAAATTGCCTCATGAAACCCTTATTATATATTTATTTCTCCCGTGTTTGAATAGAGTGTTAAATGTGTTTTTTTTTTTCACTGAGAAAAAGACTGATATTGATAGCATTGGTTTCCTATAATCTTCCTGAAATATGGTTTGCTGGAATAATACATTCTTGAATTAAAGCTGTTTATTTTGTGATTGGTTTAGTGTGATCAGCGGATATCCATCTGAACTTCTGGCTTTATCAGTTATCAACGGTTACTCCAGTCATGGCAATCTTCCGTTCAATGTCAGCCTGAAGTTTGATACTAAGACTTTACGGTCCCATGTACGTTATTTATTTATTTTCAATTTCTATTTGTTTATTTATTGTTCATTTGTAATACCTCATTCAATCTTTCAGTGTCTTAAACGGTTATATAATGCATTCTTGTATCACTGACTACAATCGTGTATGTAATTCTTAATTAATAATGTATTATTTGCTTTTATCCCATTCGTTCAATAATCGTTCTATTATTTTGTATATCTGTTTTGTCTTTTTTTAATGTTGTGCAGAACAACTTGACAGGGGACGTCAATATATCATGTGTTTTCTGGAACTTCAACGAAACGTAAGATCATTTCAAAGTAAACAAACAGTATAAGATTTGGAAATAATTTAATATATTATTTCAGTTTCATAACGTTTATAAACAAAAATAAAAACAAACAAACAATAACAAAAATACCTATAGTAAACAATTATTCAAAATCATTTTAAGACTTTCTATAGTAAATTATTCGATAGTTGGTCTCATTAACATATTTTTCTAATTCACAAACACATAACAATTTTCTTGAAGCATATCATCTTCAATTATAATAAGGAACAAGGTGGAAACAAACAAACGACAGGTCATTTCGGCTGAAACATAATCAAATATACATTTATTGCAAACTGCAACCGAATTAGTAAAAATGCCGTATTCGAAATTAAGTCAATCCGGTTACATTTGAAAATAATAAGTATTTATAATATGATGAGACTGCTTATATCTGTCTTATATCTGGAAGTATAAGTAAAAGAATATGTTCCATTATGTGGTGTCACCTATGAAAACGCCTAAGAATTACACAATACTTATCATTTAAGCCGTTTTAAATGTTATTACAGGTTTGGTCCTATCGGTTGGTCAGACGATGGATGTATGTGGTCAGCAGAGAAAAAGACATGTATCTGCAACCATCTAACTAATTTTGCTGTTCTGATGAGTCCCATAGAAATAACAGTGAGCATTTAGTTATAGTGATAGCAATTTTCAATGTTCACGGTAATATTATCGTAAATTGTAATTCCGCAGTATCTGTGGACAAATTTAAAGTTTAAAATAAAAAATTGATTAACAAAAATGAATATAAAAATGAAAATGATTATAAAAAATATCAGCATCACACATAACATAATTTTCAGTGCCTAATTTTTATCTTATGGTAGAATTTTGTTGTTTAGAATGAGTTGGATATCGCACGTCTTCAAGTTATAACCATTGCAGGATGTAGCCTGTCCATCGCCTCCACGATTATAACGATGGTGGTGTATATTATGCTGTGGAGGTAGGCTATAGCTTGCACTATAAAAGTTTTGCTATACATATAAATCATAGAGAGTTGAAACAGTACAGTTCGTAATTTCTTCTAAATTCATGTTGAAAGATGAAATTCACTTTTTGTTCACAATCTTTAAAAACGTTCCCAAAATTATATAGATACAAGAGCAATTCAGTGTACAGTGATATCATATCCTGCTAAATGAATTATATATGCTTTCAGCATCTTTCTACAGCGGGTCAAAAATGAACAATGCTATAATAAACATGTCATTTTTGCAATGATTTTCGCTATAAGGTCATCGCATTCATAGATTATATGAATGCCACCGTATCTATACAGAATTATACTGTAATATTTATACCATATACTTTTGTAAAACGTTGTATATTTTGATAAATGTTTATTATAGGAAAACATCCACTGGTTTTGAGAAAAAACATTTTATTTGATAGGTATATAAAGAATGATAGAAGTAAATTAGTGATGAATCTGTGTGTTGCCGTCACAGTCGCTTACATCTTGTTCTTAGTTGGACTCGATCACACAGATAATAATGTAAGTAACAGTGCTCCATGTGATCGTCGTTGGAATTTTGTCTCGATATGAAAGAGTTGAAATATATCAAAATCATAAGTTAGACATAACGTTTATTGAAGAAATATAACTTGGAAAAAATCGCGAAATTTGAAGATTTACAAAATATCATCTTATTGGTCGCGTTATGAAATATTCATCGCGTTTTTATAATAAGGTCATATTGCATATCCAATAGAACACTAACGTGTAGAAAAAAAACACTAATTTAATATCAACAAGTAAAAACGGTTCCTTAGTGAACAAAGATAACAAAAACATCGAAAATGTAAACCCCAAAGTTAATCAAAGAAAGATAACGCTCTAAATTGTAGCGTCGGAATAGTACCATGAAACCTGTAATGTCAATATCCCACACAAGAAAGTGTGAGACATCACGATTAAATAATGAAATCATGATATGCTTACAATATGCCTTTTTTCCCCATACAGGTAGTATGTACAGTCATTACAGCTTTCCTACATTTCTTCTTTCTGGCTATATTTTGTTTGATGCTTGCGGATGGTATACAGCTCCTTCGACGAACAACAGTAGTAATGAATGTAAAGTCAAGACTAAAATGGCTTTTACTGATTGGCTGGGGTAAGAATGTCGACATTCCTACGAAATGTTTTCTACAGCATACTTTCAATAAATATTAAAGATTATCTATATTGCGGTCAGGTGATTTTATTTCCAAGCCACAAACCAGTCCGTCTTCATGTGATTATGAAAATATCTATACTGTATTAATTCTTTCTGTTTCACTATCAAGAAAACGTCATACAACTAGACTTGATGGAGAAAATTCATATTTAATCAAATGCATGATATATTTCGTTTCGATAGAGGCCGTGTTTAACTTTAGTAACATATCACGCAGGCAACCTTTTTAACCCAGTAGTTTCCTTCCGCTTTCTATTTGTTTGCTATGAAAAAGAAAGACATACAGTAAAACCCCACTTACTCGAACCCGCATTCCTCGAGCTATTGACACAGGCCCGAGGAGTTCGACTTAGCGGGGTTTTACTGTATTTAGCAAAAGCAATATACGTAAGTCCATCATACATTAAATTCGTCCAAAAGATCGAAATGTGGTGTAAAACTGTTAAAGTATAGAGTACTATTTTGTGCTTAACAAACACAGCATATGTTTAAAACTATATAAAAACCTTTTTTTTCATCTCGGCGTCGAACAATATAGATATGTATATAAAATGGCATTTTATTAATGCTGTTTTCATTTTTAAGGTTTACCAGTCATCATCGTTGGGATAACAATTGGAGTAAAACATAATGGCGGATACCATTCAACGAAATAGTAAGTAACAGTAAACTTCGAGCAAACATGTCTGCTTGTAATAAAAAAAATCTGTTACGAAATTATCAAACTTTGCTGCTTCTTTGCTCCATTTTTATACTCTTAAATATAAAATATTTTTAAAAGTTTTTTTTCGAATGAGCGTTCATATTTTATGATTGTGTATGTTCTATAATTTTCAGGTTTTGTTACTTTTCTTATACTGATAAAAAAGATAAAAAAAAGCAATTATATTGAGACAATTCCATAAATACATTGGTTTACGTTAATTGTTTCAGTTGCTGGCTCACAATTACAGACGGTGTAATATATTCGTTTGTTGGACCGGTTTTGGCTGTGATTGTGGTCAGTGGTTATGGACGTTTATCTATTGCATCGTTAACTAAAAACTCAAAATTAAGTTGAATCTTGAAAATAAGCCTGTAGTTTCTTACATGAAATAATCTGCAATCCGTTTTTTTTTTTTTTTTTTTTTTTCTGTTTATATATTTTGGTTTTCATATATGGTAATTTGATTTTTCCTTAAAGTCGGTGCTTCAATAAATTTGCATTTCTTCTTCCGTTCATTGTGGTTGCACATGCATAGTGTTAACAACATTTTGGTTCAAAATTATTTAAACATTATATATGTGTTTTTTCCGTTTATGTATATGCTTCCATTGGTTTCATATAAACCGAAGATTGAATCAAATTAGATTTACATAGGTAATGGAATTCTTTATAAGCGATGATTGTACTCTAAACGCATAGTATCACTTTTTGGAAAATTATCGCAATGTCAGGCATCTATAGTATATACAAAAACTTCAATAAACGCTACCGCTAAGACATGTATATTTACAGTTTGTTTTCTGTTTGGTAAAACAGTTTTAAAGCTTTTGGACAGTAATACAAGGCAGTGATATTTGATATTTGTTTCCAGGTCAATGTTATTGTCATGGTCCTGGTGTTGAAGGCACTGTTAACGTCTCAGTTTATCATGACGAAGACACAAAGGCAGAAAATTGTGTAAGTTATATGTGTGTTAAAGCTTATATACAATGAATATGTAAAACAAATTAAGATTTGGTTGTCACTTACTAGCATCTAACATTTATAAATTTTTGCTTTCAGGTGATTCGCGAAATTAAAATCAGCAAATAAGCTCCAATGATAAAATCAAATAGACCTTTTCCTCTCGCTGAATTAATCACATTTACAGTATGTGGATGGTTTCTTAAAACCTAACGTGTATGTATAAGCTAAGCATCTTGTGTGTTTATAAGTATAGATGTGAGATTGTTGTCTAGATTTTTCTCGGTGCAGTGTGTTGCTATTTTTTTTATCAGATCTGCTATACGAAGTGTGTGTGTTCTACTTCCGGTTTTGGGTATCACGTGGTTTTTCGGAATCCTCTCTATTAACGATGATACTATAGTATTCCAGTACCTCTTCGCAGTCAGCAATTCATTACAGGTAAAGAAACATATTCTATATAACATATAACAAATGATATACCTAGGCCAATTATAAAGTCTGTGGTTCGATACCAGATATTTCTGATGTGTGATCCAGCTGCAAGCATACCATATTTTACTGTGAAATTGGATGATTAATTGAAGCTAGAGAAAATTTTGAATTAAATGTGATACAAACAGGTTAGAAATGTTTCTGTATTGGTTCGATATCAATGAAAAACTACACAAATATACCCATTTTTGGAACATTTTCTTCACTTTGATAATGACAACAGAATAGAAGTTCTTATCACACAACCAGTAGAGGGTCTTCTACCGGTTGTGCAATAAGAATTTTTATTCTATAGAATATACCCCCTGATAATCTAACAAAATGTATATTGTTTGTAAATAAGACTACATGTAAGTTATTTACGTCAGATTAATTCCTACTTGCAGGGGTTCTTTATCTTCCTGTTCCATTGTGTCTTCAGTGTTCCGGTAAGTCGCTGTTGGAATCGTCATTAATATGGTGTATCACGTATGAAAAAAAGTGACGTAACATATATTTGTTAGTAAGATAACGGGTATTGTGTACTGTGATGGTATGAAGATAATCATTATTTCCCTTGTGACACCATATGTGTAGCTTTATGGCGTCATATGTGTAGTGACGTCAGCAATAAAGAGATGTATCGTCAATTATGATTTTCTAGAAGTGAAATAAAATGTTACCACAAATGTTTGCAAATATATATATAAGATATGTGAGCAGAATCTCGCATCTATTTCTGTTTCAGATAATGTTAATAAAATTCGCCGTAGGCTTGGTAAAATGAAAACAATCTAAAGACTTGTGGCGTAAACCTCGTATGAGTTTTCGCCAACAATGAAAATCGTAACTTCGATGTGCTATATTTTTTTAGGTGCGTCGCGCCATGAAACAAAAGTATAAAAAAGCTGACTCAGCTTCAAAGTCGAACAAATCTCAGGTAAAAATTCTGCAAACTGAATGATGTTATGGCATTAATATTTTGTAACAAATTCATTCACGGCAAGACTGCAACTTACATCTTATAGTCATGTGACCTTACGTTCATCTATTCAAACTTTTAAGTTTTCAATTCCATTTTAATGCAGAAACAATAAACGTGTTAGGCTAATACCGTTATACTTCTCAATGGCTACAAATGAGAAAGCGAACCCCACGTGACTTTGTTCTAAAATGGAGTCTCTTATTTTGTAATATAAAAATATGTAATAAATATATCTCTCGTGGAAACATGTATGAATATTTTTCCAATTGGACAAACATTATTATTGTTAAGCATTTATAAACAGCATTGTGTAAACCTGTAAACGTTTTACGATGTTCTAGAATGAGGCATACTTCTGGTTTTCTTCACAGGCAACATCAACGACGCACTCGTCAAGATACAGTGTAGACAATGTTATTGGTAAGTATAACAATATTTTTGTCATGGTCATTGATGTTAAAAAATAAAAATAACGATTGAAAGGTCAAACTAGCATCGGAACACCACACACACAAGTGGATCAATAAGCTAAAAATAAGGTATTCCAAGTCGGAATTTTTGTTATACTGTTTCAGATAATACAAATTAAACAAAGAACAATGTTATAAAGTTTTGACTTGTATGAAATATGTGGATATGATTTTTATTTTGACAGTTTATGAAAATCGCAAAAAATATGGAAATGTTACTATGAAATGACTTTTTAGAAATATCATCGTTTTAAGTTATGCACATATTTTATTTTTAAACATTTGTCGTACCAGTACAAGATATTTATTAAAAAAAGATACATTCTTATTTCTTTTTACAGATAAGCAGTATACAAGTGAGAGATTTAAACAACAGTCAGCTTCACAATTATCACTACGTTCTATGCAATCATCAACTTTTAACGTAAATATAATTTTATTGTGAGCTATTTGCAAAGTATCACAAAATATAACATAGTTAAATCATATCGTATAAAGTATTTTAAATAATAACACCAAACCATGATAATTTTAATTTTAGCACAAATTACTTTAATAAAAAGAAAGAAAACACAGATAAAAAAAAAGACAGATATCGGCGTCCATAATGTCGAATATTTCAGATTTTTTTTTTGTTCTGTTTTGTTTTTTTTCCCTGTAGCAGGTTTTTTATCCCTTCAGAAATGGTTTATTTATTTTTCAGTAAGAGGCTGAGAAAAACTCATGACTGGCGTCAGGATATTGGCCTCCAATGAAGTCTTTCCTCGTTTCTTCGCTGTCTATAGCATAACACTTCTCCATCTTGTCCGAGTTTTCAATGAAGATGAAGTAATATCATAAACGGGACTGACATTGTATTATCGTCAATTAAATTTCATGATAAAAAAAGGAAATGTATATATGGGGCTTTTTGGTGCTATTTAAACTGAAATTGATTAAAATTTGATTTTAAAAAAAATCTTCATTCTTTAAAGTTGTGTTTTGAAAGTTGTTCTTTGGAATTCTAGATACGATCAAAACATCAAGAAAATATCAAAATGGCAACATAATCGTACTCCAAACTCCATTTCCATAACACTAGGGCAAAATATTAACAAAAGAAATATTTACACGGAGATACCTGAAAAGGTCCAAGGATCAGAAGTTCCGGAAGAGTAAGAGTTTTTGGCTTCATCGACGACATCCGCCATGTGTAACTTTCTCATATGAGAACAATGTAAAAATGGACGTTTAAATGTTAGTGTAGACATGAATGATTAAGTTTAACAAACGAATATACTTGATTTAGCAAAACGACTAGTTGATGAATTGTCACTGTTTTACAAATGAAATTTAACGACGAAGTTTAAACCCAGACACAATACTTAATTATAAACTATGCCTTTATGTAACTTATTTCAAATTTGTATTTAAATGCATTATTCTGTTGTGTGTCTTTTGTACAATTTTCGAGATTTCACGTGGTAGACACCGCTGGTGGATATTTCAGTCCTCGGTGTTTTCCGTAATCTTCCTGCTTCGTTTCAATTTACGTGTACATACAATTACCACACATGAAAATTATGGAATTTATTGAATTATTGTGCCACTACACCTCCCTATATAGATTTTGACATTTCTTTCCATGAATTTTGATTACCCTCAATAGCCTCACCGGTTTTACAATTTAGGCCTTCAGCATCGCTGACATGACCTGGAAGGACGGAACATATGTGTGATGCGTTATATTCTAATTTCATATTAAGAAGCGATATTCCCTTGTGTGTCATTTGCATAATCTTTCACCTACCCGAGTAAAACTATTATGTGAAGATTGCGCAAAAGACACATATATGAATTGTAATTTCTAATAAAAAATTTAGAATCGAATATGTTAAAGCCGTGTAAGCAATAAGCTATATCATAAATCTGTTTCGTTATTCTTGGAAGCCAATGAAGTCTACATATAGGAGGCGATTGAGGAAAACCAAATTAAAAATTGTCGCAAGAAATAATAGAACCCAGAAAGCAGTGTGGGCGGTGTTTTGCACTTACCCAAACTTTTCGTTAATTTCATAAAATAAGATTCCAAGACAGTCGGTAGAGTTGATGATGATAATGATGATGATGATGATGATGATATTGACTGATTGATGAAATGGAAAGATGATGATGATGAACATGATGATGATGATAAATGACTGATTTCATACAAAATGATGATGATGATGATTGAAACCTGTGGAAAACAAGAATTGAACTTAAAATGGGTTGTAAATATGAAAGGCAAAAATCTCTGACATAATAAAAAAGGATGAAAAAATACTCAATATGAAATTCAACGTAACCTCGTAAAGTGGATTCTACAAGACTTGTCTTTCGATGTTTTTTTTTTTTTTTTTTTTTTTGAAAAGTCTCTAGAATGTATGAGGAGTTCAGGAAACGTTTTATCAGCTAACAAGGAGATCATAATTATTCAAATTTCTTGCAGATTTGGAATCGAAACACCGATACACTTAAAACAGAAATTTTTTTATTACTGACATCCAACGTAATATGTAATAACAATTTTTACGCCACGAACTTAAGATGATTGAAAGAAATTCTTATCGAAGTAAAACAAAATGATCTTTCCAATGAATTTGAAAGTCAAACCCACTTTAGGCTATTTTATTCATAGCCTCCTTTTCCTTAACTTAAAACGGCAATGATGTTTTAACACCTGAAAGATATTTACCGAACTGTTCTACCGCCTTTGCAGTTGTAATGACAAAGCTATGGAATCGGAAATATTTTGCGATTCTGTCACCATCAGATATCAGAGTACCAATAGTACACGGGGTTTCATCCGGCAACTGCTTTTCATTACCACCACTTTTGTCTGCAAATATGACAGTTAAAAAGCAAAATATGAGTCAACGAAATCATGAATCCAACACAAAATGGATAAAATTAGGGCAAAATATGTATAAAAATTAAAGAGACTCAAGAAATTAAAAGAATAAGACCAGGTGTGTCGGACGGGTAAGTGTCTTCTGCTTCATCAACGATAACTTCTATGAAAATATTGGCCAACCAAAGTAAGTAATATCATGTTTCCAGTTGAGAAAAAATGTAAACAACTACGGAACCACTATTCATGCTAAGAAGTATCAAACACACACAACTTCATAAGACAAAGGGATATTTCTCAGTGAGATCTCTACAGTGACCGTAAAACTACCCTATAACCTTCGTCAACCCGCATCTCTTGAAACCTTGTGTTGTGAGTTTGATACTATACAGAATTCATCATAGTAGTAAAACAATTGATATAACAGATATATATATATATATATATAGATATAGAGAGAGAGAGAGAGAGAGAGAGAGAGAGAGAGAGAGAGAGAGAGAGAGAGATTATTTCCCAACAGAATGTTTCTATGATTTTCATTGTGAACGGGATTCAACTTAAAATTATTCATTTGACTATCAATCATCAATTATCATTTAATTCACTCCTGTATAGTAAATTTATTTCATTTGATTCGGAAGATGCGTAAGAGTAACTATAAAAATGTTAATTATAGAACAGAAATGGAAAAAAAAGAACCGTGCTGGTTTTGTAACCTATGGTCTGCATGCTGACCGCGGTAGTTCTTGGCCGTACAGACTTTCTAGTCCTTCTGTACAATCAAATGCCAAAAAGAGTTTACTCATCCAGATTCCTTTTTTGCATTTGACTGATATGTATTGATTGTATAAAACATCGCATTCATCTAGCTTCACAGGGATAATCTAGCGATGGAGATCAAGGAGAGTGCGACATTCAGTTCGTGTTCGACCCATTGAGATGCTAGTGATGATTTTAACAAAAGAATGAATATTTTAAGTGATTGTTGAAGAAATAAATCGTTATTGTCAACTATTGACAAGCCGGGTATAAATGGTCTATCCTGGAGACAACATCTGAACCCATATTCATCCACTAGAACAGTTGCTATATCGAAAGCAATGCCGGTGTCTCTTTTTGAATCTTTCCTGTACACTAGGTAAGCATGGTAACGCTTCGCCGGTGGTAGTTCGGCCAACGATGACAAATCGGAAGCGCTATAAATAAAATATATACATATATGTACACGTAAACTACGTTTGCGATATAAATTTTTGTATTTACCTACTTAAACAATAAGATTGAAGCTCTTCGGATCCCATTGGAACCCATGTGAATCTTCATACCAGTAACATGTGCGAGACATTTCGTCTACATAGCAGTATTTGATGCAATAGAGAAAAGTTCATTTGGAAAGGGAAAGGCCTCTTCCACAGTAATCGAGGCTAATGTTTAATACAAATTCTATGACATCATTTCTGCTTTTTCTGAATTAGTTTGACATACTTTTGATTTCTCCCAAACATGATTGTACATAAATAAATGAAATTAGCATGAAATGAAATGTCTGTATTCTTCCGAGAACCCGGCGTATAACGTCGACCATATGATACAAAACAATGAAACATCAACGTCACAAAGATTGCGCGATTGACCACTCGCCGGAGAAATGCTTTATTTCTTAGAGTACTAACCAGTAAAGCAAAATTTATTGTCGTTTGAATTTCTTGATATTCTCAACTGAGAGTATCTTTGTAGCATGGAAGCTTCGCTTTTTTCATGCCCTGCCTGGCTCATATTAGCTAACGTAGCTCGAGCGGCTCCGCTAATTAAACCCTTAAGATAACACGTGCGAAGAAAAAAAAACCCTGAAGACGAAAGAGGAAGCCCTAGCTATCCTTTGTGCCAAAGGCGGTTAGCAACATAGCAAACATAGCATCAAATAATCTCGTTCACCGCGACGCTTGATCACTTAGTAATTATTGACGTAGAGTGTGCGGACAACGATGGTCTGATTGAACGAGACTAAGCGATTAGTATTTTACCCGGCACACTTTCCGAGGTTGTCAGAAAAAAAAAACCACAAAAAACGAAACAACATGAATTAGTAAAGAACACAAAATGACAGCAGTTCAGGAAGGAGATCCTGGAACTTTAGATTTGATAAATCTTAGCGCCAAATATCTGTTCACAATTGTTTACCATACTAAAATACAACGTAATAATTCGATTGCTATATATGGCCTTGCCGTTATTCATATTTGCGAAACGTCATTGTGTTTTTCATGAAAATTAAATTAAAAGTAGTTAAAAACGGAACCAAACAAAAATGTATTTGTATGTGATGCATTTCGTTGGTTTTTGTATATATATATATA